CCAATTATAACCTACTTACTAAGTCCCATGATCCTTTAAGCAATCAGGCGCCTCTCAGTTCGAGACGCCATCGTATGTGCTTGGAACGCCCCAAACCTTAGGCGTACTTAGAAATAATTTTTAGTTTTTGGTTATTATAACCCCTAAGAAACAGCTAAAATTACAATCCTTGCTAGGGTTCTAAGTTCAGTATAGAAACCCTGAACGCTAAAGCCCTTAACCCAGCTGCTGGCGTCCCGGAAGATATCCGTCCACGACCGGTGTCAGGAGTATTTCTGGATGCAGGGTCTCAAGCTTGGTGCCTATACCCTAAGGCCCCAAAGTAGTTCCTTTTTAAGAATTGAATAATTACCTAATAGGATTCTATATATGAACCCCAAAAAGGAACTACTTTGGGGCCTTAGGGTAGTAAGCAGGGCCTTGTAGGCCTTGTAAAGATTTCCTGTTGGCTGGAGGCTTTAGGCCAACAAACGCAGCTGCTTTCGAGAAACAGGCCTTAAAACCCCAAATCACCAACTCCTAAACCTACTATTACTACACCCCTGAACCCCTGAGCCCTGAACCCTAAACCCTTAATTAGCCGTGAACCCTGAAGCCTACCCATAGGCCCCAAAGTAGCTCCTTTTTAAGAATACCTAATAGATTCTATATAATACATGAACCCCAAAAAGGAACTACTTTGGGGAATAAGGGTAAACCCTCTGTTGAAGCGGAGCTGCAGGACTTGAAGACGTTCGGGCCAGACTCTCAGACTAGGCCCCAAAAAAGCATATAAGCAAATATTAGGACAGGGATATCCCACATAAGCCCCCTTAAAGCAGAAGCCAGAAAGTTGGAATATGAGTATCCTAAGCCCTTTATGGCAAATTACAGGGTATCCTACCCTGAAACCATATTCCAACTTTCTGGCGTTCCCCTTATAATGAAGCCCAATAAGGTAGGGATATCACCATAAACTGTGCTGAGCGCAAACGTACGGGCCTGAATACTTACCACTGCTGTTCATGATATAAATCCTGCATTACTTTAAGGACCCTAAACTATGGGAATAATGGTATATATACCTTATTATGGGTAATGCAGGATTTACACCATCAACCGTATGATTCTTTAGGGTTCCGTAATAAACCCATACTACAATATTCCCCAGAACCCTATTCTAATTACCAGGGCCCTTATTTTACCCTGAGGTTCAGAGTTTCGCGACCCTTAAACCCCAAACTCCTAGACCCGTAAAAAGCCCCAAACTCTAAACCTCAAATCCCTAAACCCCAAACCCCGACACCCTTCTCTAGTCACGTTGCCGCTTAAGGTTGCAGCTGACCTCTGTGGCCGCACGCACCCATGCACGATGCTGAGACGTTTAATCCTTTAGATGTATGGGTCAGAAGCTGCCCCCACCCTGTAATAGTGGTATACTAGGAACATAATAGGGCCCTAATATAATATTAATATAATCCTTATAGTCACTATTACAGGGTGGGGGCAGCTTCCAATGTACGGGGCTCAGGGTTTGGATGTAGGTTTGACAGGTCCGTGCAAAAAAAATATCATGGTTGTTAAGTGGCTATTTCTTGTGGAGGGAAGCTCCCGGGATTGGCCCAGGCATCCTGTAGGATGCAATGCTTGGGGCTTAAGGTTGCAACTTCTCGCGCGAGCTTCCGCCGTAATTAATCAGAAATGTGCGTGAGGTGGGTTGTCTTTCCGGCTCTACTTTCCCGACAACCACTCACATAAAATACACAGGAGCTTCACCCATACATACATACATACCTATGTGCATGCATGAGGTATATACTCACCAAGACGGATTTCATGGTGTAGACCCTACTTTATAGATGCATGCATGATGCACGAGAGGATGTTTGCGTATAGACTGTTGTAGTCAACGGCAGTCAGTGTAGTTCAGTGTAGTTCAGTGAAAGTGGGTGTATGCAGGTATGCGATGATGGTGAATGTATGCATGGATGTGCGGGCAGCTTCATGCCTGCACGTGCTCCACTGTCTGTGTGCGTGTACTATAGCATGTGCATGTACATATAATACGATCATTAAATATGTGTAAGTATCTATGTCAATGCGTACACACACCCACACACACACCGACACCCACACCCACACCCATACCCACACCCACCCCCACCCCCCCTCCCCCGACACACACACACACACACACACACACACACACACACAAACAAACACACAAACACACACACACACACACACATACACAGCCAATTCGAGCAAGCCCCACGGCCCTCTATGCTCGTGAGAGCACGCACGAAAGTCAGGCCATCTACAACCTTGTTCGCATGGGCAAGGTCGGTGTCCGAATGGCCGAAGAGATGATGGAGGACATAAGCTTTCGGGTTCAAGGCTTGAAAGCTTGCACTTTAGCATAGTGTCTTGAAGTTCGGGTTCAGGGCTTGGCTCAGACTTTCTTATGGGGTCTTGGGCGTTCGGTTTCGTGGTTCCGGTGGGGTTCAAAGGTGCCGGCCGGGTCTGGTGAAGAGTTCTAGTAAAGGGGTTCCCGACACAGGGAAGGCAGTGATTGCTGCGTATTGCACGATGGATCCGAGTCGGAACATGTGCAGCCTCCTCGTGCCCAGTCCAACTTTGAACTTCTGCGTCCACGCTCCTCAGTCCAAGCAGTCGCATGGTCTCCTTTTGCAAACATGATGCGCTGCGCGACGAACTTCCGGTAGGCGACCTGTCTGGGCGACGTGCGTGCTAAGACGTATCGGCTGGGTATGCTGCGACGCGAACCACACTGTGGAACTTAGGCATGCAATTGGAAAGATGTACGTCATGGCAGCCCAGTGTCACGGAAGTCTCAGGCCATAGCATCAGCATCGTCGGGATCAGGTCAACCAATGGGTGCGTCGAGCTTATTGTAGCGGCCTAAACAATTACCAATACTATTTTGGGGGTGCCGTATTATGATGATGGTACAATGCGCTCCAAAACCCTGGTCCAATTATTCAGGCCCCTGTATTACAGATGTGTGCCGAACAGTTTGCCAATGTGAACTCGGGCAGTGCTCGAGGTCCAACCGCCAGCATCTTGGCTGAGGTTTTTCAGGCTGTCGTTGTCGGCCACAACTGATACCGGGAGATGTTTACAGGTTGCAGGATTTATTGGCTCAAGACTTGCTTTCGTTGGCATGTCGCAAGAATCATGAGTGCCAGCAGCAAAGACGGTGAGTTTCCAAACTGCGATGCCCAAGCTTATGATACTGCACCCTGTTGCCCGAAACCTAAACACATTGATTCCTAAACTCTAAGCACCTTCACATTCTAAAGAAGACGACCTTAAACCCTGAGATCTGATACTATAAGCCCCAGGACCCTAAAGCCGTAAACCCTACGTGGTCACACCCCTTGGAGGAGCTTCAGCCCTACGATGTGGCATCCACCGCCATTCGAGAGCGCTGGTTTGTGAGACGCCCTTTTCTGGGTTGTTTTCAGGAATGAGGGCTTAGGGGTCATTATGAGGTGATTCTAGTACTGGGTTGCTATGTTTTTTGTTGACGGGGGTTCTATAAGGGTTTAGAAATGCTCTTGACGCCAGGCCGCACGGTTTCAGTTTGAGGGTTTAGGGTTTGGGGGTTTGGCGGATTGGTATAGGGCTTAGGGTTTTGTGTGTTTAGGGTTTAGGGGTTCAGGCGGGGAAGAGTTTTTCATGGTTTAGGGGTGTAGAGTTAACGGATTCTTAGACTCAGATGTTCCTGAGGTGGATCCATCATGTCAGAACGCGGGGTTGGTTTAAACATGATCCCAGTTTTCCTATCGGCATCTTGTCCTCAAGCCACTTTGATTGGCCAATGAAATCTTCACATCAGGATGCAATTGCCACTGAGTCCCTGTCCAAATCTGCAACCTCCGCTCTTGAAACCCTCCAGATCCTAATTGATCCTAATCAGGTTTAGGGAGAATGCGAGTTTTGGGAGGCCTCGTACTATAGGGGCCTAAACAAGTACCAGGGGGTTCCTCATTGTAATTACAGTAGAATGGGCCCCCAACCCTATCCCATTTAGTCAGGCCACTGTGGTACCAAGCCGCCTTGGAAGCTCGTGCACAGGCAATTTTCCCTCCCTAAACCCTAAACCCTAAACCCTAAATCCTAAACCCCTAACAGAAGCAAGAGCGCTCAGATGCTTTTGGGGCTCAGAGCACGAGTTCCAGGAGCTGTGCCATGCGCATGCGCGCAATGGCGATTTGGAGGCGTGCGGCTTGGGGTGAATGAGACACTAGAGTTTAGGACTCATAGGGTTTAGGATTTATGTCTGCGATTCAGTTTAGGGTCTAAGGTGCCGGGACAATTATGAAGCTAAAAACCTAAAACATGAATCCTAAACCCTCGCTTTCAGGCTCCGGGCTTTAAGCTTTGGGTTTTGGGCCGCCTTTTGGTTCGCTTCAGAGGTATCCTTTGGTTGCTGTGTTTGGTGTCGGTTCCCAATATATCAGAACTAGCCCAAAGAGTATCTTCATTGTTTCAGTGGGTTACTGAGCAGTTTCCTTCAATTTGGGGCCCTTGTACTACTAGAGGTACTTTATAGGAACCCCCATAAAGGGATCTACTTTCTTTTTGGATCCTCCCGGGGGTCTGGATAGAGATGACGGTTAAGGAGTTACGTGTAGAGGCCGAGACAGTAACACAGAAGTTGGTCTGTTAGCTACTTCAATGTCGTGCGTGGTCTAAGGATATGTCTGCAAGGCGTGTCTTGATCCGTCCTGGCTAGTAGCTGACGAAGATAGTGTAGGGGCCTTAACAATTACGATTTTCGATTAAGTCTTAGTATAGTTATGGTAAGGAACCCTCAGGAAGAATATTACGAATCATTCTGACCTTTGAACCCGGAGCCCTAAACCCCGAGGAAAAACGTTGCTGCACATTCAGGCTTCGACTTATATATGAGGCTCAAGACTGGGCCGTTCACTTGGATGCGAAGTGGCACGAGAGACCTGTCCCCGGACTCCCCAAGCTTTCAAGCCTTGCACATGGCTGAACCCGGCGGCGGCCTCCCACTTACGACACGAGACGCTTGGGCAAGAACTCAAAGTCAAAGAGCTTTCGTGTTTCACTTTGGCGCACCGCGGTTCTACAGGCCTATATGTTGCATCGTTCGGATTAATAAGGGTTGAGGATTAGGTGTTGAGTGGGCCACGTGGGCCGGGGTTTTCGATCTTGGCTGGTCCGCAAACACCTGGTCTTTCCCATGTCAGCACGTGCATGTCGACACTAAACTTCAAGAATCCGAGATTCCAAACGCTCTAAACCCTAAATCCTGAACCCTAAACCCTAAATCCTGAACCGAAGACCCCAAAGTCCAAAGCATCCGAGGCCAGGGCTTGTACTGCGCAACAGGAAGTCGATATAATACAGGGCCTAAATCATTACCAATACCATGTTTTGGGGGGTCGAGTATTCTATAGTGTAGTATACCTCAAAACCCTTTCTCCTTGTTAAAGCCCTTATAGTGGTTGTTTGAACAGGGGTTGGAAGTCGAAGTGGGGGCTTTTCGCGATTTGCCCTCCCTCGATGTCCCGCCTTCTCGCTGCAACATCATCCCCTCATCGCCATCAACACCCTGACCAACAGCACTACTGTAGTATCAGTGGCAATCTCAGTCACAGCAACAGCATGAACACTCGATAATGATGTGAAAGCAGACAGTGTTCGCAAGATCCTGTTTGTCATCAGCTCAGCATCGCGCACCTAGTAATCGGTATTGCCATATAGTCAGTAACATATCGGCAGGTGCGCTGCTGCTGCTGTTGCTGCTAGTGGGATCACTACTACTACATGAGAGGCCAAGCACTGTAAACAACATGCAGCAAGAGCAAACGATAAGCCGGTTGGGGTGAGGTATTCAGTGTTCATATTGGGGTTGTGGTAGCTGCAGCCTTTGACCCCTGAGCCGCCAAAGCTCAACTGCCTGACACCCTCAAGGGAGAATCCTTCAAATCCTAAGCCCTAAACTCTAAACTAAACCCTTGCCTAAGAACCCCCTGGAACCCCCGGCGCTGCTCCAGCTTCCGTGTCATCCGAGGAGCATCACCACATGACGGACCTCACGATGGACCAATACGAGGCCTTGCATGGACGATGGCAGGGAGGGTTAGTCAGCCTTGAAGAAATTGACGGGTTACATGGCAGTGAGGTGAGAGAGACCGTGACTTGCAACATGTTGCGGCTATGGGTGCTCTTGACACGCAAGCGTAGTGATGCTGGTGCTGCGAACGCCTGGCCAACATGGCCCTCCGTTAGCTCGAGACAGATAGGGCAGGCCAAGCAAGGTGCTGAAAAAAACAAACCCTGACCCCTCAAGCCTAACCCTAAATTTGGCCCTAAACCCTGACGCCCTGCCAAGGAGGCGGATGTCTTAAAGGATCGACTCCTGGCATGCCTACGGGATCTTCAGCATGTCCTGGATCAAGGTCGCCATGCAGCTCAGGACAGCGAAAGGGTTCGGCTTCAGGGATGTTTCAGGATTCAACTCTTTCGGGCGCAGGGAGAAGGCTTCGCTTGCAAACCTCTGGATGGCTTCAAGCTAGCAGCATGCACACCGTGACAGAGAAACGAGACCTGGAAGCGCAAACCACGAGTCTCCAGGCTCACTCCTGATCTGCAAAACCCTGAGGGTCCACGTACCCAAATAGTATATACGTTGGCCCCAATGTACCTATATAGGGACTACTGTAAGGCCAATGTCTATACTATTTAGGTACATGGACCCTTAGGGAAATATTAAACTCGAAGCCCTTGAAACTCCTCCTACAAAGCGACAGCTAGGGCCAGGGACTCGACCGGTACACTTCTCTGGAACTAGGACCTAGAGTAGGCCCTTATTCCCTTTTTTAGGGTTCAGGTTCCCTTATAAGCCCCTTTAAACCAAAAAGGGCACCCTTTTTATTCCTAGGTTACTCTTGGGTCTAGTCCTAGAAGGCCATCCTAAACTCTGTATCTCCTTACACACACGTGTACGGCAATGTGGGAGTTTCCGAAATTGGGGACCCCAATATAGCACCCTAATTAGTAGGATCCTTATAAGGACCTCAAAATAAGGTACACCTTATGTCGGAACTCCCGTGGCTTAAACGCCAGCCGGCAGGATGTCACGAATGACGTGAAGGCACGTGCCCTACAACTGGCCCGCGAGGCCCACCACCATTGTCTCAAAGTTCCGGGTTTAGGGATTAGGGTTTAGGGTTTGAGTGGATTCGTTTTTGATTCTGAGGGCACATTTTCGAGGGGTTCCAAGAGGGTGTAGTGCTAGATGCACGTTTCGAGGTTTCTGCTGTACAATGCGTTTGGTTCCGGATTTACTATCCATGGTTGAGGTTTCAGGTTTAGGATTATAGGGTTTAGGGATTAGGGTTTAGGGTTACGATCTGAGGTATCGTGGTTGTTAAAAACTTCATGATGTTATCAGTAATCCAGGGCGCGAGGTTGCAAAAGCGTCTTTCGCGAAGGTGCATTGGGAAGTTCGTAGACAGTTAGAAACTATTTATTTCTTCCATGCAGACAGATGTAGGAGTTTCATAGTGGCGGCGTAGATTGATTTGGTAGTTTCCAGTGCAGGGCGGAGGTTCGTGTTGTCTGGTATTGTAGGACTGACGCGGTTGAAGGTGTAAGAGTTTGAGCTCAGGGCTTTGAGGTTTGGCATGTCGCTGTAGATCTACCTAAACCGAAACAGAAACGCTGTGGCATGGGGCTGGGTGAAAACATGACGACGTTGCGGATGTTATGCTCTGGCCAAAGGGGCATGGGCTAGGTTTACGAGGCTACCAGTTTCAGAAAACAGGACCGCATAGGTGCTGAAAGCACAAGGATCCGAACCCTCAGCCCGTCGTCAGGCAGCCTGTGTAGCTGCAGTGTATTGTAAGCCGGATATTACGTGGGTGGTTGTCGAAATTAGGGTCCCTTTTTGGGTACCCTAAATAATAAGTGCTGTATTATAATAGGGACCCAAGAAGCCCTGCGGGTTCACTTTCAAGGGTGGCTTTGTATCGGTTTTTTCGGGGTTCGGTGTTTTTGACGTACTGGAAAAACTTTTATGGGCAGGGGTTTGGGGAAGTATGTATCGTCACCTTGTTTCGTGTCCCCCACCCCCCCCCCCCCCCCCCCCCCCCCCCCCCCCCCCCAAAGAGCAAGCAGAGCACATGACCGAAAACAACATCGACGCAAAAAGCGCAGAAAACGCAAAGCGGCAGACATCCCAAAACATGCCTTCAGAAAGTCAGGAATACAGCACGCAGGCCACGTTTTTCGATGCTCGGACGAATTCGCAACCCAAAATGTACGACCAAAAGCGACGTCGTTTTTGGTGCAAAAAACAAAGACAGCACGAATCAGACAAAACACTCGGCTACCAAGAGCGGAACACATGTAACAAGCCGAAAACCTCGCGCAGGGCGGTGTTTTCCATGTGCCGGAAGGGCCGTGCGAAGGAGAAGGGCATACAAAGGCACACAAACGACAGGAAAAGACACCCTTGAAAGTGAACCCGCTAGGCCAAAAAGGGACCGTCATTTTGACAACTACCCACATGAGATCTATTCAACCTACTCTTTCCAGTCCATTGAGTCCCGAATCATGCCTAAGTGGTAAACATCAAACCGGGACCCTGAAGCCTCAAACCCTAAACAAGTTCTGAACCTTCTACGACCCCTATGCAGGAGTTGACTGGGAAACAGCTCCACGTGAGTTGTAACAGCGACGAAGATTTGTCGGGGCCTCTGTTGCATCTCGGATCGTCGTCTGGGTACTCTACCACAAACACTCCAGGTCATAGAACCTACTCTTGTGTCTAATCTATGAATGGTGGCTATGGTGGAGTGGAGTGTCTGAAGGGCTGCCTTTAGACACAGAAGATCTTCAACTTTTTGGAGGCATTAGGGTTCGGTGCTATATTCTGCACGCCATATTACACATATGATATATATATATGTATATAACCATCTATGTATAAACCTTTCTTTGCTTCAGACTCCCAGACCTTTTGACATTCAGGGTCTGGGTTTCGGGAACTATCCGCTGATCCGCAATAATGTAGGGGTCTGATAAAGAACAGGAGCCTGTAGTAATTCAGGACAAGCGAAAATCAATGCCCCAAGCTTTCGCCCTAAACCCCAGCCTCGGGCCTCAGGCTTGAGCCTTGACTCGTGAAGTAAGGGCTGTGCGTAGTCGGCTCTACTTCGAGCAACAAACAACGTTATGCAGGGCCTGACAAGGGCTGTACACGGCCCTAACCACATTGCTTGATATGGTCTTGCAGGGAGGTTCAGAGTTCGAGCTAGATGAGCGCAGAGGACAACCCTGGCAAGAGAAGCCTGGTTCTTCGGAGTGTGAGCGTCGGGATTTTGTTCCACGCTGTTGCAGCTGACATGTCGTAGGGGTCAAGAACTCGCCGAGTCTGGGTGACCGTCGAGGTGCTGTGCTTCTGACGATCAGATACTAGCACCAGAATAGGAATAGGAACTACACGAAGAGTGCAAGAGCGCACAAGATGTTATAAACTACGATAAATCATTATACACGATATTCTACTTGAGTGGAACATGTAATGCAAGGCAAACATGTAGTTTGCCACAGTGTAAGTGCATTTCACGATCAATGCAACATGGTGGAATGTATTATAGTATACTGGATTGTAGAATTGATTCACAATATGCCCAAAAAAGAAACAGCATATTAAGGACTGCGTAAAGCAACCCGGAGTAATGTAACACCGGCTGCTGTGTTATTGTGTGCCATGACATGATATGCAGTGACACGAGAGGATATGGTATGATACAACAAAAGATAGCACAGAGCAACATTTCCCCGCCTAAGCTAGTTCACTTCCAAGGCTGAATTTATTCATACACATTTTAATGAAGTGACATAGTTGGAGGCAATTGGGCATGATACTACAGATCGAAACTGTTAATGCAGCATAATATGTACATATTGTAACAGAGTTCTTTTCAAATTAACGCAATACAGATGTTGTAAGCTAACACAATGACAGTATAGCATGGCATGATAAAACAAATTCAAGCTAAGGCAGTTTGATGCAAACCAGTATAAACAAGTTATATTAATAGACATACACCTGTATGACATCAGAGCATACATCACAATAGAGAATAGTGTGAAAGAAATTGATAGAGTACAGAAGGAGACGAGCTACACTTGGAAATAGAGTAATAGAGTTGCTACAAGATACCACCATAGAAGACAGTTCAGCATAATATAGTGTCACATAATTACAAAAACTCCAAAGGAGTTGCTGTAAGTCGATATGGTATGTTTCAGTTTAGGATAAGTATGTATGTATTGATATGTCGTATATCATTATGTCTTGCTATATGTTAACACACAAGATATCTTAATGTATTAGGCCATGTGATACCTCAACATAACATAATGTATCAAGTTATGATATGCTATAAGTGAAGCTTCTGTCAGACAAGCCACATGGAGAATGTCGTAACATGCTCTGATATACTGTTATGATATGCGTAAGACAACATGTTATAGGATGGTGCTTCGTAACAACGTAGTCTGATACAGCATAAAGTAGCAAGATATAGCACAGTCCATCATTTCATAAAATGCGTAAGTAAAATAATGAAAATACAGTAATAGCATGCAACATCGTTTCACCTAGTGCACTGTCATGCGTGCAGTACACCATAATTTAGTCTACCATAACAAGAAACTGTTTATTGTACTACTTTTGAATGCAAGTATGATATCATGTCATAAAAGACGAAAGAACCATGCATGCCATTGCATGGCAAAGTACAGCATGGCGTAATATGTGTTTAGACGAAGGTGGACGGAGCTTTGGAAGCTTCTCTTCGAGCTGCAGCGACCTGCCGAGCCCCAGGCATAGACTCTCCTGCTATGTATCAAGATTTGGGGTTTAGGCTTTGGAGTTCAGGATTTCGCTTCTGGGCTTTATCCTAGTGAACCTAAGCACCGACAATCTGCCCGAACGCATATGTCGATCTTTTACTTTTCTATGCTCACAAAGCGTGGCAAGCCCTTCCAACTTCCATTTAGTTTGGCGGTTCCCGGCGTTCCCGGTGTCGGCATTTAGATTTCTGATGGGGCTATGAATGATCAAGCATGCGGGTTTCAGTAGAATGCGGCAGCTCTTATGATTATTGGAAATTTCGCTAAGGCAGCAAACACTCTAAACCCACAACTTGCTAATATTCTTGCAAGGGCTGTTGAGTTGCCTTCCTCGATCGCAGAAACTCACGCGATCGGTTTGCGCTTGATTATCTGAAACCTGGTTCCTAGACCCAAGCTACTCAAAATACCCAAAGGGTGTGGGCCGCGGCCGAACTACCGCCTGAAGCTTGGAATCTCCAGCATGTTAGGGACCCAAAAAGCACATAAGCATACGCATTTTATGCGGATATCCCTACCTTATTGGGCTTCATTATAAGGGGGTTGATATGGGACATCCCTACCCTGATTTTTGCTTATGTGCTTTTTTGGAATCTCCAGCATGGGCAGGCAACGCAGGAGAGGAAGCCTGAGGCGATCGACCTCCCCACTTTGAAGTTTACTGTGGAAGTGACAGGGGGATCGAAAGTTGCTCGGCCTCATGAGCTAAAGTAAAAGCCAGAAAAATGATGAAAAATGGAATATGATTATCCTAAACCCTTTATGGTAAATTATGAGGTATCCTACCATGAAACCATACTCCAACTTTCTGGAGTTTCCTATAAGGCAAGCGGCAACTTCGTGGACACTTCAGTGTTGGGGGCCAGGGTTTCGCACCAGCAATGCTGCTGATGAAGCGAATCTAGCAATTTAGCAGCCTACTTCGGGCCGGTTCGAGAATTTGTAGGTTCACGCCTTGGGTCAAAAGTAACGCAAGCCCTGCACCATTGGGTGTCAAACTGTGTGGCTCCGGTTTCCCTCGAGCCTCCACCACAAATCCTAAAGTTTAAGGTTTAGGGAACTCGGGGCCTTGTCAAAACAGGGTTTGTATTTATAGGGACTGTACAACACAAAACATAATGTAATGTAATATGAATAGGGATGTGAGTACTAAAGTAAAGGTGAAAAACAATGAATGAAGAGAGACTATGAGCGAAAGCTATTACGGAAGGCTGACCTTTTCTGTTGAACCTAGCGACAGCTCGGGGCAGGGTCCCAAAGTCTAAGCCGGCGGCCATGCACATGTCCTCCTACCTTAAACCCAGAGAGCCCAATACACCGTAGTTACATAGGGAATAGAACTTAAATGATAGTGGGGGGGTATATTCCTTAAATAAGGGGTGTTGTGTTCTGTGGGTATGATAGGCTGTGTAAGATGCGTAAAGAACTCCGAGATACAAGCTTTCTTAGTGTTCGGGTAAACGCGTCATGCGAACCAAGCCTCCACGGCCCCCACATACTAAAGCTTCGAAGCCAGAATATAGACACGAACCCCACCCGCAAACCCGATGTCAAACCACGATAAAGCCACTGAGGGCGCAACCTTGGAAAGCATTAAGACGACAGTCAGCTACGGCCTGAAAGCTGCTGGGCATCTTTCTATAACGTAGATGAGCTTTCAGGGTGTAGGATTCTAGGCTTGAGGCTTCAGGGTTTGGTGCTCAAGGCGTTCCGAACCAGGCTTCGCCATTTACAGGTCTTATTTGCAATAATTCCCTGAACCTCAAACACTGGGCATGCTGAACAGCCCGAGTTCTCGCCACGGTTTGGCGCAGCCCCTTTTCTCTGCAGTGCGCAGAGATGTAAGCAGATGCTTGAGAACCTCCTTAAACGTCCCAAAACATAAACCCATGTAAAGCCCCCGACAGCAGATTTCCGAAAATTAGGGGTACCCTTTTGGGGGTCCATATAATAGGGATCCTACTATTTAGGATTTTTGGGAAACTCCCAGATCCCTGGGGGAACCTAGACGAATCGGCTCTGGATTCTCCTGACCCTTGAGACCCTTGAGCTCTGGCACTTCGGGACCCCTAAGCCCTAAACCTAACCCTAAACCCTCAAGGTAAACCCCAAAACCCTAAAACCCTAAAGCCCTAAAGCCCTAAAACCCTCAACCTAACCAACCTAACCCTAAAAGCCTCAGCGGCTTGAAGGTTGTGCGCATCCTGCACCAGAGCAGGAGTCTGGGTCTCTGTTAATGTTAAGAAGGTTCCCTACTTGAAGGCTCATGGGACTTACTAAGTAAGGTTATAAGTAGGGTTATAATTGGGGTAACTCCATTTAGGGTACTTATAACTCTACTTATAACCTACTTACTAAGTCCTGCGCCCTTCCAAGTAGGCTTCCAAGGAGCTTGCTCTTGGGTCCTTCAGGGGTCTCAAACTCTTACTATATTTCCCCGGAAGCATTGGGAGTTCTTCCCGTCCGAAATCCTAAGAGTTCTAGGTTTGGGGCTGAGGGTTTAGGCTTTTGGTGTGCGGTGTTCTACCCTAAAAGGCCCAAAAGTCCAGTAATAAGAAGTACCTGGACCCTTAAATTAGCCTAAACCCTAAACCCGAAGTTAACCCTGAACCCAGGAGTGACAAGAACGGCAAAACCTTGCACGTTGTTGACTTTCCTGGTAGAGCCGAGCCCCTCAACGACGGAGACGAGATCCACGGCCTGAAAACGGTGGGTCTTTACAGGTTCCTTTGAGGGCTCTTTTCAGGGGATGATTTCAGGGTTCTTGTAAGGGATCCTCTCAGGCTTCCTTAAGGGATTCTTGTACGGATCCGTTAGGATTTCCTTCCGGGATCCTTTAAAGGTTCCTTTGAAGGGTTCCTGGCTAGGTCTCCCAGTAGTACCTTTTTGCCCGTTCATTTTGGGGGTCTCCTGTCTCCAACTATGTATTAGCGAAGGTTTCAATGTCATCGCACATGATCCGCAAGTTGAGAGTTAAGAGGTTTCGGGATTTGGGGGTTCAAGGTCTCGGGTTTGAGGGATTTGGTTTAAGGGCTTGATTAAAGGGCTTAGGGCTTAGAGTTTAAATTAGGTTGCAGCCCGAGATCCAGACGGTTTCGTTCCCGAAAGCTGCAAAATCCTAAACCCCACAACCCAGCGCCAAACACCGTAAGAAGCAACTGCTATCTAGCTTCGTGACGCTTGGCGCCAGTGAATGCCGGAATCTCCCTATCCCCAAACCCTGGAAACCCTAGTGATCCTCGCTCTTTGGGGCACACGTTTAAACCCATATCCCTACATAACTGCAACACCTGCTAAGTGTCGGCAAAGCCCCAGTTCTCTTGAAATGTTAACACTAAGCCCGTAAACTCCCTAAACTCGGAGCTCGAGGCCATTAATCCCCAAACCCGAGGTGCTGGGTGCTGCCACTGCTTGAAGATGATGTTGACATTTCCGATCGCTGCAACTGTCAAAAGAAGATTGACGGAGCCTTCGAACACTTGCAGCCAGGTCAAAGTGTACGTGTCGTGTTCCGAGGCCTATCAAACCCAAACCTCATCGTTGAGTTACGGGATTGAGAGCTCTTCGATTATATAGATGCCACTAGGAACGATGGCCGTAGGAATTCTGGCAAGAACAATATGATGGGAAAAACAGACCGACACTAACGAGTTACGGTACGTAGTAGCAAATCGTTCGAGTGGTATCTACCTTGCATGGCCCCAAAGCACGCTGTCTTGCGGCTACTGTTGGGGCGGGTGGGGGCCCGGACATGAAGCCACAGGGGCGGGGTGGGTGTGTGCTTGGGGTGGGGAGTGTGTTTTGGTGAGGTACCTTTGTTGGTCAAGCGGTTTCTACAGCTATGCGTGAAGTTTTCATGTTTTTCGTCGCTGCTTCATAAGCAGCGAGGCCTATGTAAATAGCTACGAGTACCCACGATCCCAACTACTACCACCCTAGCCTGTGCGAATTGGGTGCCCATTCATATGAACCAGAAACCCTTTACGTGATCTCAATCTCAGACAATCTCTGAAATGTTAAGTACCTCGCAGTTTAATGATTTGAAGCCGGAAGCACCATATGCGAGGAAGCCTGAGCACTTGTGGTTTTTAGGCTTTAAGATTTCCGGGCTGTTCAAGTAGCAAAGTTTGACATGAGTTTCGGATGCTACAACCTCCACTCTATACATCCTTAACCCGTAATGCTAAGCGGAAGACTGCTTGACTGGTTTAGTCCTTTGATCGCATCCTGTCGGCCGTATGCAATCGTTGATGAGACGGATGTTTCAATCGTTTGGAGTTAAGCATGATTTAGGGCATCTGTTTATGTAGGGGTCGGTGAAAACGATTCGGGGCTTGCGGGTGCAGAGTGGTGTAGACGAGCTCGGTTCCCCCTAAACCTCAAGTCTCAGGTATACCGTCGACCCAGACAACTCGCTCGCGAGTGTGCGAATCGCTGCTTTCGATCCAAGGCAGCACAGAAAAGACGAGGGCCGTTGCACGGCCTTCAACCTGGCAGCTTTTTCCAAGAAATACAGCAAAGACGGGGAGCTGTTCCTGGACAAGCTACCGCTGCGCTTGCTCCTAGACTGTGGGTTCACAGAGCTCTCCCTAGAAGTTTCTCTTTTCGTATATTCTACACACATGGTGTTAATCACTAATTGCTTAGCTTCTTCGACTGGTTTTTAGCGGCTGAAGCAAATGACAGAGTCCTGGGTTCAAGAACACCCATACTATGCCGGTTTTGACACCGTTTTAGTGTCTTTAGTTGAAATCCTCCGTTGTCGAGGGAAGAAGTTCCAGACGCTTTTGCACCGGCGGCTGTCTGCACTGAAGAGGTTGCAGATGCATTGCTCATGCACGTCAATGGCCTCAAGGAGGACCCCTGCGACTACATCTACTTTTACGGTTCCGTTCAAAGGATGCTACCCAAACAACAACGACAATGACAACAACACCAACAACAACGACAACGACAACGACAACCACAGCAACAACAACAACAACAACAACGCCGACAATACCGAAAGCAACAGCAACAGCAGCAATAACCACAACAAGAACAACTGCAGGAACAACAACAACAACCACCACAACATCAACAGCAACACCACCAACAACAACAACACCACCACCACCACCAACAACAACAACAACAACAGCAGCAACAGCAACAGCAACAGCAACGACACAAAACAACAGCAACAGCAACAACAACATCTACTAGTAGTACTACGAGCTACCATTACTACTAGTAGTAGTAGTAGTAGTAGTAGTAGTAGTAGTAGTAGTAGTAGTAGTAGTAGTAGTAGTAGTAGTAGTAGTAGTGGCTACTACTACCACCACCACTACCACTACTGCTACTGCTACTGCTGTTTTTTGTGCCCGACCTCCAAGCTGCGGCAGCTCGGGGTGAACTTCAGTTCAAGAAGTCGCACTGTTTTTAGGTAGACATTTGAGAGAAATGCCTGCCTTCCAGGATGAGTCCACCACAGCGTCCACAATCCTCCGAAAAGTTCAGGAACTTCAAAAGCAGCTGGAGGAGGAGAAGAAGGAGCACAAGCAGGAGCAGGAGCAGCTTCAGGAGCAGCAGCAGCAGCATCAGCAGCAGCAGCATCAGCATCAGCACGACCAGCAACGCATCTCCAACGAGACCTTTCTTCATCCCTTGAACGAGCTAATCGCGAAGACCGTGGTCCGTGGCATAGACAAGGAGTTGGACGGCGTACTCGAAGAACTCAACTGGAAGTGGAGTGAAAGCAGCTTCTCGAAAACACCACAGATGGACGAGCTCAAGCAAAAGCTGCGAAAATGTCTCACCTTCACTACGACACGTGAAGACTTCCTTGACTTCCAGGCGAGTGACGCGGGTTGGGACAGGATTCGTGCGTCGGGGTGTGAACATGATGGCTTCCGGAACGGGTGCCAACGCCAGGCAGATCCGTTGCTTGTATAGCGATTTGGCAGGGTGATACAGGCTTCACGGTTTCGGGCTTTGGGTTGATTATGGCTTTGCTCCTCAGCAGTATGATAGGTGTCTCGTGCCCCTGGCAGAGCGATCAATAACTTCTCCATCGATCTGACAAAATCGTCTCAGCCTAACTTCAATTTCTCAAGCCTTAACCTCGTGAGAACTGCGAGTCCACTATGCCTCCATCAATCTGGAAAGCATCGTTTCAAGCTGTGGTGTACCGAAGTCTCAGCCGAAGTGAAGGTTCAAGGGCCATGAGTAATTGCAAGCAGGTTGATCTGCCCGCCTGCTTGGCTGATAACAACTCGTACATACGGCTACCTTGCACAGGAACCTTGTTCCCCTAAGGTTGTTCCCCTAAGGAACACTCGCGGACTCCATATAAAACTGTGTCAACCCTACGCCCCTAAACCAAAGCCTCCAAGTAAACGGCCCTAACATAGGGGAATATACAAATACCAATACTACTGAGGGGGCTCCTTTTAATATTGTAAGAAAACCCCCAAACCCCTTTTCTAAGCGGTAATTCCCCACATTATCTTATAGTATCCTTAAGGGAGGGGGCTCCAAGGGGGGTATATAGCCTAGTGATCCCTAACTCCCCCTAGTACTCCCTAAGGTTCCCCTAAGGATTCCTTGTACCCTCCCCCCCTTGAACCACCCCCCCTTAAGGATCCTATAAATATCAGGGTTTGGGATGCAGGAGGATTCAGCAGCAACAGCAAGTGGCCGGGAGCTGAAGCTGCAACTGAGGTATATGCAGCTGGGCCATACTTGATCAGAATTAGTACAGTACTGTTTTCCGGGTTTCTTATCAAGTATAGCATAATGTACGATTAAGCGAACCCCGATCTGAGTATTGAAGCACCCGTGTTACCTGCCAACCGCCGTAGATCTCCATAACCTGAGCCTGAATTCGATCCCGATTGTTTCTTTTTCGCGGGCACGAGGTTGAAAGGTTTAGGGTTTTAGGGTTCTCGTGAGCCCGGACATTTTCTGGGTTACCAATGGAGAGTTTGAATTTGAGGACAAATCCCTTCATTGTAGGTAGGACCCGCCCCCAGAAGGATCACCCCGGGCATCAGGGCGTGGGGTGTCAAGGGGCTCGAGGCTTCTGTTACTATTACTATTATTACTATTACTATTATTACTACTATTACTACTATTACTATTATTACTATTATTACTAGGATTTCATTCAGTCCGGTGGCGTTTTCTAAACTTTTAAAGCTCAGTAGCTGCAGACGGAAAACGACGAGCAGCCACAACAAGCGTTCCCGGTCGCATTTGTCTACGTCACGGCGTTGTGTGGCGTACAAACATGCTTAATCTCTGAAAAATCCGCCGCTTACTAAGCCGTGCAAAGCCACCTGCCAAGCACCTGAAAAGGTGGATGACGGAAGAATGAAAGATCCCTTGTTATGTAAGGACTGAACTTTGGGATTCCTACCTATCGTGCCTGAGGAGCCTTTAATCTAAACATCATTCAGGAACATGCGCAACAAGTACAACATCAGTCCAGTGGGGGTGATCCACAACGGGAGCGGTTTGACAGGCGCCTTGGGATGGGTTGCCGGCCGTGCCAGGTTTCTTAACATTGGTCCCGGCCTTGTTGTTGAGGTTTAGCCTTCGAAAAGGAAACTCTATATGCATACCGGGGCCCAATTTAAACCTGAGACCCCCATGCAATTAGATCATATACTCGGGGTACAGGGCCGTGTAGCGGGGATCCGCAAACCTTGGTAGCGAGGTCCCCATGTATTTTGCAGCTACAGTTTCAGTCCCGGATCTTTCATGCTGGTCTGTTGCAAACCTTGGGTCTTTGTATGCATGCACTCTGCAGGGTTTTAGGGTTTAGGGTTTAGGGTGGAGTGGAGCAATGCAGTATGGAAGCCTGAGGAATCCCTAAAAGCCATGAAGCCCTGCAAGCTCATAGCCCTAAACCCTCAAACCTTAAACCCTACCCCCACTAAGTCATCAAACCCGTCGTAGAAAAACCCTCACAGAATTCTGTATGTAGCCGTTATTTGGAAGCCTTACCGAGCCTGCTAGCCTTGCAAGGTTTGTGGGAGATCCCTGAGCGATGGACAACCGTCGTGTTCCCGCGCGATCGAATCGTGTTTTTGGAACCCCCTCACCTGCACCTCAGAGGTCAAGTGGGGCTTTTGAGGGCTTTTTGGGGTTTGGAGTTCAGGGTTTATTGTTTTTCAGAAGCTTTGGTTCCAACTTAGCCTGTAACAAGGAAGGTCGAGCAGCCATAAAGTCTGACACGTCAAAGATAGTAAAAGGCCACAATTCACCAGGTAGCCTTTGAGATACATTACATTTCCCCTTATGGGCTTAGGAGAATCCTATTTGCGAATGTCTTTCAAAGGCTCTAGAAGGTCAGCCTGGCTCAAGGTTTCTTCAACAGGGGCTTAGGCTTAGGCGTTCAGGTTTTGTGGCTTCCGGTTCTTGATCGACAGGCCCCTATAATATTACAATTGCTACCTGCTAGATGTCATGCTTGGGGTGATTAGCTCCGCAGATTTAGGGTGTAGGGTTTAGGGTTTGAGGATTCAGGGTTTAGGGTTTTAGGGTTTAGGGTTTTACGGTTTAGGGTTTAGGGTTTTAGGGTTTCCCTGATAGGTTCAGGGATTCGGGTTACGAGTTTCGTGGGGTCCGAAGCTTCTGTGCTGAACTTCTGTGATATTTTGTGGAAAAGCCCAAGCATATGTCCCTGGACCGCAGGGTTTTCAGTGTGTCGGCGACGCAAGAGGTAGATGAGTTTGAATGGCAGAGTTGGGCGTTTCGAAGAGCTGCTCAGAAGATCCCACCCGGTGATTAATAATAAGTGGGAGTTTCCGACAATTAGGGGTACCTTATTTTGGGATCCTTATATGAAGGATCCTAGGAGTAAGAGGTCTATTTTAGGGTCCCCTATTTTTGGAAACTCCCAAGTCTAACGACATGTCCGACATGTGTTTTCCTTACTCCCACACCTCTTGCAAGCTCACAGCATGTCAACCACATCACATGAAACAGGTTACGAAAGAAGTGGTGAGCGTGGGTTTAGGTTTTAAGAATAAAGGTTTGCCGGGCTTGAGGGTTTAAGGAGCGTACTGCACACCATTATGGTTTATTGTAGGGTTTAGCTATGTATGCTGTTTTGAGCGGGAGGAGGGGGGTTCTGCTCATGCTCTGCGAGGCTCAGCCATGCCTTCAAGCAGAAGGCCCATGCATTGTGGTTTTAAGGACTTTTGACTTTAGGCATTGCGCCTTTGTGCAGCCATGTCTGTCGTTTTTCCGGCTTTAGTCAAGGGTCTATGGTGAGGTTCCCATTAGCCCCTTTGAGCTCTTCACGCCACCAACCTTACTCTCTTCAAGCCCGATTCTGTAAGTCCAAAGCTCTGGCCCCGACCCCTCAGTCGTTGCAACGTGCAGATTTCCTCGCTCATGCACGACGACCTTCCTAAAGTGGAGAAGCGGCTGCCCGGCTTTCAAAGCGTGATCAATTGCAGTTGTTCGCCCAGCTGTGCACAGGCCCGGGCTTTGACGTAATTGCCGAAGGTGCCAAACCCTGAACCCGACCCAAGGCCCGCAACGTCATAGTCAGTGTCGGAAGAAGCTCGAATACTAGGCTAGGCACAATTCCATGTCTCGATAGGCCCCAAGAAGCTGAAGTTGTGGGTATCAAGTCCTCGCTGTTCGGATTCAGGGCTTCGGGGCTACCACCAGGTTTTGGGTGTAGGGTGGAGGTTCGGTCTTAGGGTTCGGGGATCAACCGCGAGCAAGAGAGAGCGCAGCTGAGCTGTGCGATTTATACCGTTTGGCTAAACTTAAACCTTGAAAATCGACCTAGACCACGCAACCGAAAACTGCTGGCTGCCGAGGCAAGCCTAGTATCCTTGACACCGTAGCGGACCCTCAACCCTAAACCCTAATTGTTGGCTGCCGAGGCAAGCCTAGTATCCTTGACACCGTAGCGGACCCTCAACCCTAAACCCTAATTGTTGGCTGCCGAGGCAAGCCTAGTATCCTTGACACCGTAGTGGACCCCCAACCCTAAACCCTAAACCGTCGGGGAACCCTGCGAATCCATAATTATCACTCACCCAGCAATTAGTAGATTGCATGTGTGACTGGAGTAAATCCCTGACGCCTGACAACGAAACAGGTGTTGTTCCGTTTACGTGGACATATAGACAGTTCTCTAAATTAGGGTCCCTGTTTAGGAACCCAAAACAAGGTGGCGCCCTACCACCCATGTAGGATCCTTTCTCCCACTTCCCCACAGCTAGACCCTAAACTCTAAACCCTAAACCCTAGCCCCTAAGACTTGTTGAACCTCGACTGCGGCCCAGGGTTACAGTGGACCATGAACTCGGCCAGCCAGGATCACCTCGATCATTGCCTCTATCCCCGGATTCATGGTATCGTTGAGGGTTTGGGGGTGTAGGGTTTTGAGGTTGATTTTGGCGGCCTGAATGCTTATCTTTGTTACCCAGGCTTCCTTGAATCGGCATACAATGATATTCCAATGATTAGGGCCCCTGTATTACGGTTTGTACGCGAGGACTCTATCCCATAGGCTCCTGGTCTCTGCTTTCGACTTCAGTAAGGCTCCATCCACATGAATGGTGATATGTGTTCAGGGTTTAGGGTTTAGGGTTGCAGATCTAGTTTTTGTAAAGTCGCTGATAGCAGCACCGCCGGGAGTAGGAGGGACAAGCGAGTAGTAAACCGAAGGGCAGGGATGGCCAAGGGCCCACTAAAGTCACGGTTTAGCGTTCTGCTGCAACAGTATCACGGACTCTTTCTTACATTCTGCAGCATCCCGAGTTACCACCATGCGAGGCAAAGCCATGCTTGTGATGTGGTCACCGTTGCCGCGATACTTTATCTAGGGAGACAAAAGGAGCAGCAACCTTCGGCAGCCAGGGGATATCCCTATTTTATTGGCTTGGTCCCTAAAGGAGTGTGTAGAGTTTAAAGGGGCTTGAAGGGTCGAGGGACTGGGCAAACCAGGCTCTGCTTGCGGACCAGAGGAGCCATTAATCATTAATCATTACTGTAATCCCTGATCCCTAATCCCTAATCCTTAATCCCAATGCCTAGCTAGGGTTTAGGGTTCATGCATGCTTACCTGATTCGTTGGTAAGGCACCGAGTCGATTTCGGTCTGAGACCGAGATCCATCCTGCAATACTCGCCCTAAGCCCTGAATTCTACTCCCCAAACCCTAGTATATAATCCAAACCCGGAAACCATCTAAAACCCCCCACGATATAGCAATCACCTGTGTTCGTGCTTACAACCAGCATTCGCCCAGCCAAGGCTCAAAAGACTGAAGACAGCAAAAGACACTGTGCTGGAAAAGTGTGGTGGCCTGAAGCCGGCGGAAACGCGACGTAGCAACTTGGCTTGGCATCAGCATGGCAGCTTGAAAGTAAGGCTGCCAGCGTGTTACAACTGCTAAAGTTATGGTAGTCTCGTGATGCTTGTCCCGCACTTGAAACCGTAATCCCTAAACCCTGACCTGAATCCTAAACCACGAACCCGAAGCCCGAGGTCAGAAAAGGAAGCAGAAGGCGGGAGATAACCAGATGCCCATGGCACCTGAACCAGCGGAGGAAGCTAGGGACCACCACGGTTCCTGAAGCTCCTACTTGGAGGTTCATGGGTAGTTATAAGTTTTCCTTTAAGGGTCCCTTCAAAGGGATCTATATGGAGTCTATAAGGGTAAAGGATTTAGGATATACTTGGAGGTTCATGGGTAGTTAGAAGTAGGGTTATACCTAAGGTAACTATACTTATAACCCATATCAGGGGACTTAGAACCCGACTTACAACTACCCATGACATGAACCTCCAAGTCATCCCTAAACCCTATACCCTTATAGAATCCCTATAGATCCTTTTAAAGGGGCCCTTAAAGGAACCCTTATAACTACCCATAGTAAAAGCAGAAGTTACCCTGAGTCAGACCCGGCGTCTCCCGAAGTCGTACCCCCCTTAAACCCCCCCCTCCCCAGATCAAAATAATATGTAAATAATGTTTGATAACCAATTGCTGCATTAATATTTATTTGATCACCATCTTTATATCCTATGTTACCTTTATGGATTTGATATGGTGTTTTTTTGAAAGACTCCAATATCCCTTAATTAAGGAATATGCCTTGAATTATAGTAGGATCCCTACTATGATGTAAGGAACATCCCTTAGTTAAGGGATATTGGAGTCTCTGAGTCAGGGTCCCTATGATTAGGTCTGATATCGGAGTCGATCCGAGGCTACGCCATCGAAGACTCTGGGTTCCTGTTGCTCCAGAAGAGGTTTAGGTTTAGAGTTTGGACTTTGATTAGAATTTAGGGTTTAGGGTTGAGAGTTTAGGCTTGGAGTTTAGATTTAAGGTCAGATTTTTTGAATGTTTAGATTTTTAGGGTTTGGTTTAGGGTGCATAAGAGTGTAGCGTGTCGGATATGAGTTTAGGCATTGGAGCTTAGTTGTGCCTGTACAAGCAATTCCCATCGCCGCTTGCTTGCGGATGCCTGTCTTGTAGCTACCCGTAACCTACAGGCGAGTTTTTGTCAGCTGGGTGCTCAAGCTCGAGCCGCAGCGGGCACGATTCTTCAATCTTTGCCAGCTTGCACTTGCGAATGTCCTGAAAGAGTCGTGGACTTAGTAGTATACTGACTTTTTCATCCGAAGCCGGACAAGTAAGTGAGTTCAGGATTTTCCGGCAACCTTCTCATTTCCCCGCCCAGCGCTCGCTGCACCAGTCCGGTGCGGCACCAGTCCGGTGCCGTCGCACTTTCATGTGCACGTCACCGGCTCGAGTGCCGGGACGCCGGGGACTTCGGGGAACCTTCTTGGGAGAGGGGGGTGGGGTTGTTGTAGATTACGGCTCCGAACTGTGCTGAAAAGGCATTCGTGTACAGAGTCACTGAGAGGAAGCACAAAGCAGAAACATTGAGTCGTTTAGAGGAAGCACAAAAGAGAAACCCAGGGGCGTGCAGGCTGTTTACAGATTTTCGAGAACTCGAAGGGTGCAGCGATAGATTTGTGGGGCAGCAGAGACCGGTAAACCGGCGCGTACCCCGAAACACCAAACCCTAAGCCCCCCAAGCATAAGCCCTAAACCGCAAAGCCCGAAATCCCCGAACATCCCGATCCCCCCGAACCTAAACTGCCCTAAACCCTACTAAACTGCCTCAAGCCCTTGCACCCTTGGATAAAGCAAGCCCTAAACTTGACTCTGAAGCCTGCACCTTTAGACCCCATTTAGGGTTTAGGGTTTAGGTTAGGGGCTCGTGGGTGCAGTAGCTCAGTTATTTTTCAGTTCCTTTAAATCGTAAAGCAGACCTCGGTGGCTCCAAGTAGCTGCTCATGATTCCGGGTTTAGAATTTATAGGGTTTATGAACCACTAGGGTCAATGGTGTCTAGGGTTTGGGGGTTTATAAATTACAGAGCCTAAACCCTTTACACCCTTGACCCTTCTGGTTCATAAACCCTTTTATGAACCACTACAGCAGGGTCTTGGGGGGTTAATTTAGGGGCCTTAGTATTTAGAATAGGGTTTAGGGGGCTCCCTCTTATCACTATAGCAAAATATACCCCCATACCCTATTCCAAGTATTAAGGCCTCTATATCCCGAAAGCGCTTATATTGTAGAACCCGTAAAGAGTATCCCTTAAAGGAATCCTAAAAAGGAACCCTAATCTAACTCTTAAGACACCTTTTCTTAGGGTTTAGATCCTTGGCCCTAGGGTTGTGACAATCTCGTCCTGTATTCTGTTGAGCAGCCAATTTAATTTAAAAGGTGAAATAAAGGTGATTCAATAGTGCCAGGACAAAGGTAAAAGAAAGGTATTACAAGACGTAGAACAAAGGTGATGGGAGACGTAAAAAGAAGGTGATGATGTACGTAAAAAAAAGGTGATGGGAGACGTAAAAAGAAGGTGATGATGTACGTAAAAAGAAGGTGATGCTAGACGTAAAAAAAGGTGATGATGTATGTGAAGGAAAGGAGATCTTCCAGATGTACAAGGCTGGTAGTTATGACATCCATATTCGCAGGCAGCCTCTCAAGCAGGCAGCCCAGGTAGCTGCGGCATGAGTTGGACTGCTTTGACCGAGCTCTTGTTGCAGCAGGCCAACAAAACAGCAGAGCAGGCCTCTTACGTGGATGCCATGCGACGAGAGTCGGACGGAGCTCTCTCGACAACACAAGATGCCGAAGGGTGCTCGAGCTGCAGTGGACCGGCAGATGACAACCATGCGTTGCCGGATGCTGCCCCATGGTGGGCAAAGCTGCTAGTTCATCATGCAGAAGGTCTGACACGTCCGGGCGTGTTGAAGCAGTTCTCAGAGCCAATGAAGTTGGTTTCTGGTTGCACATGCAGTTTTGCAGAGGCCACAGTCCTGAAGGCGCGGGCCCATCCAATCTGTAACTGTAGCCGTAGTGCTGCTAGACTCTCGAGTGGAGTCACTGGTTGAGCTGGTTGAGTGTATCCCATTTCGCAGGGCAGTGGGGACGGGTTTGGTTTGCCATTGCTGCCATTGTATTGTAGTCAAGTCATTGTAAGTTGTTGTTTATTGTATCCCTCAACAGAACCTCGGCATCAACTTCGTGTGCCTCTCGTGCTCCGACCCTTGTGACAAGTACCGGCAGTACGCTTTGCTCAACCACGGCGATGTGATTGATCACTTCTACGGTACGATGGAACAGCAAGCCAAGCACAGAGGTTGCTTGCTGCATCCACACTGCAGTAGTTGCCCTCTGCCGCAAGCTCCGGGCGATGTGGATTTGCTATGTTTCGGCACCCCATGCCCTCCGTTCAGCAAGCAAAGGGTTGGGCGCTTTAAAGAGGCTTCCCCAGCAGATCATTCGGACTTCCAGGTGACTTTTGCTGAGGCTCTTGATCTTCTTCACGCAATGCAGCCGAAGGCTGCAATCATGGAGCAGGTTGGTGGCTTCGGTTCAGGAGAGCCCAGCGGCGAATCTCCGAAACAGAGGCCGCCCTCTCGTGGTGCTTGCTTTGCAGGCTTTCTTGTACCAGGGCATCCGCAGTCTCTAGAACCTAGGGCCTAGGGTAAAGATTCCAAAATTAAGAGCAGTAATAGCACCTAGACCGTGTGAGTGCCTGTGCCTGTGACATTGAAGCCAAGCATGTTCGCTCGTTCTTGTCACAACAACAAACACATCCCTTGCGGCCAGGTTCATGACAGAATTGGCGGCCAAGTTTGCGGGCCTGCCCGGCTATCATGTGGTGGAGTGCCTTCTAGACAACAAGATCTGGGTCAAGCAGAACAGAGAGAGGTGCCCCCTGCTGACCAGGTTGTGCAGGGTTTGTGTTTCTATGCGTGTGTCGGTGCATGTGGGTGCATGATGGTTTGTGTGTGCGTGCGTTCGTCCATGCCGGTGCGGGTGCGAGCGTGGGTGCCTCGCTTCTTCCCTTCTTTCCACCCCTCTTCCAATCCCACGTCCCCGCCCCACCCCACTCTCCCCTACCTGCACACCCTCCCGAGTGGTTGTGGGCGTGGTGGGTTGGGTTGCTGGGTGGTCGGCGTGAGTACTCGTCGCATCCTATGCAATGTTTGCTTAATGCCTGCACATTGGCCATGGTCCTGTCAAATCAGTCGCTTTCTGGTGCTGCTGGCATGTAGCTTGAGTAGGACAGGCTCCAGCTGCAAGGCTTTTTTTGCAAGCGAGTCGTGTTCAAGCTGATGCAATCAACATATGGCATAGCGACACATGGACATTATTTAGGACACTTTGTTACACTACCACATACGACACGCTGTGCCTTCGTGGTGAGCACCGGCGATCTGAGTTGATGTTGGTCAACATAGGCTTTTAGGCCATGCATGTCAGAAGCGGAAGAAGGACTGCCTGCCCCTGCAAGCGAAGTCTTGGGACAGGGCGATGACTGGGCTCGCTTTTTGCAGACTAGGCTTCCGCAGCCAGAGAGTGCCAGAAGTTTGGAAGCCGACCATGCTCCCAAAGACACTGGGGTAGAGACTTCGGCAGTGCCTGACGCTGCAGATGTTGATCTCGGAGAGAATTGGCAAAGGCTTGTGGACGAAGCTGAAGCGGCAGCTGCCAATGAGGCCAGAGCAGTAAGGCCAGGCGATATGTCCATCCGATCTAAGAGGGGCCGTCCGACTGGCAGTAAGCTTTTCTGGCGTGTCGTGGATGAGCGGAACATGCGTGTGCCACGCAATCCAGAGCCAGAGCCTTCGGCGCCAGAGCAGGAGGCACCTCGACAGCGGGAACTCGAAGCAGCTGCCCAACCCGAAGACCGGCTGGCGCCAGGAGTCGGGTCTTCTCTACAGCAAACATTGGCGATGCAGAGCTCAGTGGCCATGAATACCCGGCGCCCATTGCCTGAGCCTCGAGAGAAGGACAATTGTGAGACTGTGGACCGCATGCTGTTTGCCCCAGGACGCAAAGTTGCAAGCTTTTCAGCTCTCAGTGAGAAGTGTCAGATAGGTCCTCAACAGATTTCATACAGGGTTCGCCGCTTGGCCTGTGTCGTGACGGAAGGAAGCAAGTATCTGATTGAGTGCATGTTCGATGAAATCCTGTCGGCCGTGAGGGCAAATGCGATGAAGATCGTTGCAGTGTTTGAGAAGCGCAGATACGACGAAACACCCCTTCCTGTCAAGCTCGACAGCAGAAGAGCGAAAATCATGCAGACAGAAGTGACGCTGGCGCTCCTCCTGGAAGACGTGGAGAAGGGAATTCGTTTGTTCCTTCGATTCCGGGTTCCATCGCCATTGAGGGCTCTAGATGCCACAACAGCAGAAAACATTCGGGCACTTCTGCTCGATGCGTGTTTCTTTCCTGGGGTGCAGCGTCTTGCTGCGCACGCAGCGCATCATTATGTTCTGGTGACAACGGACAGGTACGGCGCCAATATGGCGGCCGAGCGGAACCTAGATTGTGATCCGGGGTGGCCTAAGCCAGCAAAAGTTCACCTTCCCTGCGATGTTCACAAAGTGAGTCAGGCGCAGACAGCACAGCATGACCTTATCGACAGAGAGATCACAGGCATGGTGGCAGCGGCAGTGTTGTTGGGCGATTCTGGTGAGACAGTCCGTTTTCGTTCCTGTGTTATGCGAGCTATCGAACAGTCACTAGAGGTTTGCTACGGCCATGCTCCAACTGGGTTTGTGCGTGAGTACCAACAGACCGTGCACGACTTGTATCTTGGCTTGCCAACGGATGACTCAGAGGATTTCCGAAAACGCAGATTGCTGCAAAGAGCCATACTGAAACATTTTTTCAATGGGGACCTACAGTCCAGCAAAATCCAGCACTGGACGCTGAATCTGCAGCTGACTCGTGATGATGTGCTCCAGCAAATCAGACGGTTTGCTCTGCGGATGCTTTTGCCTGGTCCGGCTCCTATCTTCCCAAGGCACCGCTGGACGAATTGTGACTTCAGCGTAGATTTCTACGGTCTCCTCGCCAGCCACCACGGCTTGCTGGAGGCTAGCCTGAGGCTTTGGCTGGGGCTTCCACAAGGCTCAGCGCAGGACGGCGGGCAGCAGCATGGGCAAACGTTGGAGGAGTACCTGTTGCCAAAGCTACCGGCAGCTGCTGTGAACGCAGAGAACAATGCTGCTGATGCTGAAGCTGACGATCGAGAACAGCCGCCAGATGCCCCTCTTGCTACAGATGCGCCCGGCGTGGCACCGCCGGACTGGGCCCAGGTGAACAGGTCGCTGAAAGCAAAAGTCACTGCTTGGGTGCAGAGTGTGTCGGCACAAGACTCTTTAGCCGGGCGGCTGGCGGTGGCCAGACAGGGTATTGGACCTGTGTGCCGTTTGATGCGCAAATTCCTTCGACTGGCAGGGCACGCGTGGGACGTTGAACAAGAGTGCAAGGCTTGCAAAGGACAGCCGCGCAGCTATAGGATTTTGGAGGCATGGGAAGGGCGAGACCTGGATGAGTGCATAGAGGCTTTGCTGCAGATGCTGCAGGTGCCGGCCGTGTTTTTGCCGTTGCAGGACATGCGGTCCGGCAAGCGAAGACTTCTTTTCAAGATGGCCTCCCGCGCAGTATGTGCTCTTCAGGTGTTGCTTGTTTCCTGCAGAACTGGCTGCCCCTACGCTCTGTTTTCCTGTATGTTCGGAGAAGAACACGCGAGGTTTTTCTATGAGCTGAAGCCATGCCAGCACGATGCGTTGGCGGCAGCCTGGGTGCGAAGCTTTCCCGATGTTGCTTCCAGCCAGTCTGAGATGGCCCAGGACTTGCTCACCGCTCTCGCGCTGTTGCTGGACCTGGACATTTCTCAGATAGAGGCACAGCACGCGAGCATCCGGCGAGTTCTGATGGCCAGGAGTTGCCAGACGCATCCAATGGCCTTTCAAGACCTGTCGGCAGATTTTGCCCTCCGGCAGTTGGCCACGTATGGAGAGAGATGCCGTGCTTCGGTTTGGAGTTCTCAGATTGATTTATTTATGACTACTAACACAAGCATTTTCTCACGTGGTAGGCCCTGGTATTCTTTGTTACCCAGCCTAGTACATAACCCATGTATTGCTTAAGGCTGCCCTATTGATACCCAAGCCAGACCCCTGTCCCTATCTTGCTGGCCTTCGCCAGCTTTTGCAGGCCTTCGCAGAGGCACAGATCCGGTGTTGCCCGAGCCATCTCGAAGGCGACGGGGAAAGCGGAAACGGAAACCTCGAAAAGACGGTCAAGAAAGAAAAGCAAGTCTTCGTGGGGCCTACAGGATTTGGCTTGCGATGGAGAAGAAAGGCAACGCGATGAACCGAGAACTCTGTGGGCGATATGGAGCAGAATGGAGGGGCATGAGCGACGATGCCAAGGAGCCATATCGGGAGATCGCTCGAGCAGAAAAACTCAGCCGAGATCTTGCTGCGTCGCTGCCACCGGCAGCACCTGGGTCCACTCAGCAGGACACAGTGGCTTTGCCCCCACGAGTTGCCGATGAGTCGGTACTGGCTGTAGAACAGTCGGACAGCATCGAAGCTGTCATCAGCAATGCAAAAGCCCGCATCAAGCAGACGCAGCTGCACAGACGTGATCGGGAGACTGAGCAATCCAACACAATGGCTGCATTCCACGGGGAGCACGCGCACGAGCTGGAGATTCCCGCTCTCTTGGCATGGTCACCGCAGGTGCATACTTGTGTCGGTGCTCCCAATATCAGTGCCTATGATCTCGAACTTCCCTGCGCCCGCATGGCTCAGGCAGGGCACACGAGTCGAGTGACGTGAACGTATGACTTCTGTCTTATGTAAAGCACAGCACAGCAGTGATCAGATAGTATTGCGTGTGGACAGCAGATGGGTCAAGAGGGTTTTGGAAGTTTAGTTTTTAGTCGAGTCGAAGTCCAGTAGACTCAGTAGACTCAGTAGACACTTGACCCGCCCTTTGTAGTCCATGCCACGAAGTTTCATTGGTACCCGATGTTTTGCGCACCGTGTGCAGGCGCTGGAGCATCAATGGATTTGTTCTGGCACAACAGGTTCCGTGGCTATGCGACTTCGTCAGCACTGGGACAGGATGCACACTCTGTTCCTTCAGGAAAGTGCAGATCCACTGCCTACAGGCGCCAGCGAAGAGAGAGGCTTCCACCCCAAGCCCTGCCTCTCGCTGGGTTGCTGCGTTTGCGAAGGGGGTGCATTTCAGGATGCCTGGCTTCTCCATGCTAACTTCAAGGCCTTGACGCGGCCGTTCTTTATCAACAAGAGACCTGCCCGAAAACGCGGTCAACCAAAGCCACCTAAGCCCCTGCCGCTTCCGGCCAGATCATGCTTGAACGAAGGGGATTTGGTGTTGCGCTTCGATTGCCTGGACGTCGAAACCCAGGGCATTGACGAAGGCGCTTCTGCGGGTGCTTCGATTGATCCTGTCGTTTTCCTACCGAGTGTAAAGTGTAGAGCTTCTGGGATGAGTGCTGGTGGCGGTGTGCAGGTGTCTAGTCTAGTCTAGCGGTATAGTAATAGTATAGCTGTGTAGCCAGTGCTATAGCCTACTATATAGACTACCTATAGTAGGACCTATAGACTCTAGACCCCATGATGCAGCAAACAGGCGGGTGCTTAAGCAAAACCACTTAGCCATTTCCTGGATCACTATGGGTAGTAGTAGTGGTAGTAGTAGTAGTAGTAGTAGTAGTAGTAGTAGTAGTAGTTGTAGTAGTAGTAGTAGTAGTAGTAGTAGTAGTAGTAGTAGTAGTAGTAGTAGTAACCCACTGCTCCACTTAGCCAGGCCAGATGTGTTTTACTATTTTACAAACAACAGAAAAAAGAGGGGCTCCAATTTTGTTTCAAACTACTACTGCTACTACTACTACTACTACTATGACGACGACTAATATTTGGCTTCAGGTTTTAGGCCATACAGCTCAAAGACCCGATTGTACAATCCTCGAGACTTACAGTAAGATTGCCTGCAGGTGATTGGACGGCTCTGCAAGAGCAAATCATGCTCCGGCATGCACTTCAAACGTGCGAGAGCCCGAGCGACTTCCACCTGGCTCTGCAGTTTTTGCAGCATGCGAAGCCTCGTACTCAAACGTTGTACCTTCATGTGGGGTTCAGTAACCTGCGCACCTGGGAGTTTGGCTTCTTGCAATTGGAGCCAGAGTCCGGGCCAGATGCCCAAGGTGAGCTCTCCATGGTAGTAACCCTCGACAGCAAACCGATGCGCTCCCTTGCTGCCTTTGCAAAGCTGAACTTGCAAGTGCCCATTTTACTTTCTTGGTACCGCCTCAGTGACGCGGATGAACCTCTTGGGGTGTTGGAAATGTTGCCTCGACGAGTGGACATAGTTCCTTTGCAGCTGCCAAGTATGCGAGTCTGGAAAGGGGCCATCCAAGAGGAGCAAGATCGGCAAGATCGCGAGCACCGCCAGCAGAAGCCAAGCAAGAGAAGACAGCAGAAGCCAAGCAAGAGAAGCCAACAAAAGCCACCCGGCTCTGGCACCCGCGCACGTGCCAGGACCTCGCCCGGCACCGCTACTGCAAGTGGCGCGCGATCTGCGCCGAGTGCACAGACTGGTCCCGAAGATAGACGTGCAGAGTCGGATGCTTCGTCCCGCAGCAGAAGCCGCAGTCGTAGCTCTTCCCGTTCTGGCAACAGCCACAGCAGCACTAGCAGTAGCAGCAGCAGTGGTAGCAGTGGCCCGGGACGGCGCCGAGAGCGAGATCTGCTTGCGGACTGGGCAGAGCTGCAGCAGGAGCTGTCTGCTGCAGCAGACGACCCTCCAGCAGAGGCCGCGACAGCAGATGCTGATGAGCGAAGTGTCCACAGTCTGCGGACCGAGGATGCGAGCGTATCCTCCTTGTCGGAAGAGACATTGGCTGCACTCGCTGCAGCCGGGAATAGCGATGAGAGCATGGATGCGGAGGGCGTCGAGCGCGGAGTAGAATCAGACGCGGGCTCCTCAGGTGATTCCGATGATTCTCCAGAATCTGATGCTGCAGTGCGACGACCTCCTGCTCCCCACCACAAAATTTTCAGTGGAGTGCCAGAAGTGGTGTTGGATGTGAACCCACACGGACAGATCAGATTTAATCGAACTCTGTGTCAGTTCCGAGCGCATTGCAATGTACATGGACGGGAGTGCCGCAAGACACGCACGTCCAGAGCAGGGCGGTTGGGGCAAGGCAGGCCTTTGGGTTTGCTTACTAGTTGGCTTCTGAGGCAGAATGAGTGTGCGTGTCGTGAAGCGCATCGTGATATGGAGCTCCCCTCTTTCGAAGAGAGGCGACGTGCGCGGCAATGGCTTTCAGAGTCTGTGGCTGGGGCTGCCGAGTTTTTCGCATTCGAAAGGGATAGAGGAGAGGACTCAGATGAGGAACCCCGTGTCGTTCCTTAGTTTCACAGGAGTGTTCAGCCGAATGGCTCTGGCACCAGGATGACGAATCGTCGAAAGCTCCGAAAAGAGTACTTGGGTCAAAGAATGTGAATGGGCTTTTCCTGCCAGCTTGTCCATGCCCGAAGCATGATATTGGCCTGCCCAGGCAGAAGCGATTATAGGCGACCCTGTGCCGGTAGCTTTATAGATTATAGATTGCACTGAAAACCGCCGCTTGCCAGGTACTACTTCGCCCTGCTCAGAGCAGATACGTTTGACCAGATGGATGCTGACTTCATGCGTAACTCCGTACAGGCCTGCGTGCTCCGAGCTTGGGTGGCGTGATCATGAGATGCAGTGTATCCGTCCGAGGGAAAGTTGCAGGCTTGCTTTGCACTGTAGGTTTCGGTACTTTCGAGGCCCAGTGCCAAGGGCTAGGGCTGCTTTCGGGCCTATAGTCTAGAGTGCCTATAGCCTATAGTAACTATAGTACCTATACGACCGTAATACTTAATGCCCCACGTACCACTAGAATCCCACGCCAGGGCATCTGCACACGGCAGATGGAGCATGGGCCGCGAGACATCGCCGGCGTGATCTTGGATGTAAAGCAGAGGAAGAGGTGCTTGGAGCAAGAGGCCGGCAGTTGAGAAGACCAGTGCTGTTCTAGGCAACTCTAGTGACTCTAGTCCTAGCTCCTAGTTCCAGAGGGTTTGTGTTGTTGCAGCAAGCGCGTTCCTGCTGCTTTGTGTTGGCTGTTTGACAGTAATGATCCGTCATGTGCAGTCTATCGTTGTAGATGCTCGCGGTCAGCGGAGGCATTCCGGGCCGTCCAAGCACGACTATAGAACTATAGAGTCAGATGCCAGTAAGCTTCGTTAGTCGTGCAGTGTAAGCTTGTCAGTCGAAAAGTTATAGCTACAGTCTAGTTCCGCTTCCCAGTTGAAACGAGTTTGGTTCTTGATCACTGAATGGCAAAACTCGTTGACGGTTCCATTAATGTGTGCGAGCATACGTGCGCACTAGGATAGTGTACTGTTCTGACGCGGTGTTTTGGCTTATGAATCCAGACTTAGCCAACCGGTTACGATCACGCGATGATGTATTTTAGTGGTGGTCCTCTGAGCCAATCCAAAAGGACACCCCGGCCCACGGCCCACCCTCTACAATTTGAGCCGCGAGCCCGGCCAATGGAAGATGCGACGGTTACCTTTTCGTCACCTTGTATGTGCTGTTGTTTTACCTTTTATTCATGTGTTTGTTCACCTTTCGTTCACCTTTCATTCACCTTCTATATACCTTGACCTTTTCCTCTTGTTTGTAGACCTGAATATTCAATTGAAATCTACTAGAATCTAGAATGCTAGATTTCTAACATTAAATGAATAGCAGCCTAATTAAATCATATTAGGACCCAGAGGAGCAAAAAGGTGAAAAAAAGGCGAAAAAAACGTGATTTCCCTAGGTTTCCATTGGTTTTCTATAGGAATCTATGGATTTTCTATTGATTTCCAAGGAAACTCCAGGTTTCTTATTAAAAAACTTAGATTTTCCATTGAAATCTATTAGAATGCTAGATTTCTAATATTAAATGAATAGCAGCCTAATTAAATCATATTAGGACCCAGAGGAGCAAAAAGGTGAAAAAAAGGTGAAAAAAAGGTGAAAAAAAGGTGATTTCCTTAGGTTTCCATTGGTTTTCTATAGGGAACCTATAGATTTTCTATGGATTTCTAAGGAAACTCTAGGTTTCTTATTAAAAAACTTAGATTTTCAATTGAAATCTATTAGAATGCTAGATTTCTAATATTAAATGAATAGCAGCCTAATTAAATCATATTAGGACCCAGAGGAGCAAAAAGGTGAAAAAAAAAGATGAAAAAACGGTGATTTCCCTAGGTTTCCATTGGTTTTCTATAGGGAACCTATGGATTTTCTATGGATTTCTAAGGAAACTCTAGGTTCCTTATTAAAAAAACTTAGATTTTCAATTGAAATCTATTAGAATGCTAGATTTCTAATATTAAATGAATAGCAGCCTAATTAAATCATATTAGGAACCAGAGGAGCAAAAAGGTGAAAAAAAGGTGATTTCCCTAGGTTTCCATTGGTTTTCTATAGGAACCTATGGATTTTCTATTGATTTCCAAGGAAACTCTAGGTTTCTTATTAAAAAAAATTTAGATTTTCCATTGAAATCCATTAGAATGCTAGATTTCTAATATTAAATGAATAGCAGCCTAATTAAATCATATTAGGACCCAGAGGAGCAAAAAGGTGAAAAAAAGGTGAAAAAAAGGTGATTTCCTTAGGTTTCCATTGGTTTTCTATAGGAATCTATGGATTTTCTATTGATTTCCAAGGAAACTCCAAGTTTCTTATTAAAAAACTTAGATTTTCAATTGAAATCTATTAGAATGCTAGATTTCTAATATTAAATGAATGGCAGCCTAATTAAATCATATTAGGACCCAGAGGAGCAAAAAGGTGAAAAAAAAGGTGATTTCCCTAGGTTTCCATTGGTTTTCCATAGGGAACCTATGGATTTTCTATGGATTTCCAAGGAAACTCTAGGTTTCTTATTAAAAAAAATTTAGATTTTCAATTGAAATCTATTCGAATGCTAGATTTCTAATATTAAATGAATAGCAGCCTAATTAAATCATATTAGGACCCAGAGGAGCAAAAAGGTGAAAAAAAGGTGAAAAAAAGGTGAAAAAAAGGTGATTTCCCTAGGTTTCCATTGGTTTTCTATAGGAATCTATGGATTTTCTATTGATTTCCAAGGAAACTCCAGGTTTCTTATTAAAAAACTTAGATTTTCCATTGAAATCTATTAGAATGCTAGATTTCTAATATTAAATGAATAGCAGCCTAATTAAATCATATTAGGACCCAGAGGAGCAAAAAGGTGAAAAAAAGGTGAAAAAAAGGCGAAAAAAACGTGATTTCCCTAGGTTTCCATTGGTTTTCTATAGGGAATCTATGGATTTTCTATTGATTTCTAAGGAAACTCCAGGTTTCTTATTAAAAAACTTAGATTTTCAATTGAAATCTATTAGAATGCTAGATTTCTAATATTAAATGAATAGCAGCCTAATTAAATCATATTAGGAACCAGAGGAGCAAAAAGGTGAAAAAAAGGTGATTTCCCTAGGTTTCCATTGGTTTTCTATAGGAACCTATGGATTTTCTATTGATTTCCAAGGAACGTCTCTAGGTTTAACGAAATCATATAAGGAACCAGATGAGCCGAAAGGTGGAAAAAAGGTGGAAACAAAGGTGAAAAAAAGGTAAATCAGTTCCTGGAATTGAAGGAATGGAAAGGTAAATAAAAGGTAGATAAAAAGGTGACAGAAAGATGCAGGGCCAGGGTGGGGCAGGTTGTCCTAGGATAGGGAACCAATGCAGAAGCAGTCCCAGCTCTGTTTTTTGTTCCGATCCATGCCTGTCAGGACAGCTTCACTACCACAAAGAAGCCCGCGGCTTCTTCGGATAGCGCCAAAACGTGGCACAACCAAAGTGTCGCCTGGCGGGATCGTTTGGAAGTCTCCCGCAACTATGGCCCTTGGACACAGTCGCCGCACACACAGCTTCAGGGGCTGCCGAAGTCGGATCGGGTGAAAGACCTGGTTGATCTCGTTGCTCTTGAAAAGACACGCGGCACCAAACGCAGCTGGCAGCAGATGCAGAATGCCTTGCACGGGCATTTCGTAGATGTGAGCCAATCGCACCAAAGGTGCAAGTGCAGCAACACTGGTGGTTTCATGCCAACGATGACCACCGGCAGCATTTACTACAGCTACGAGGCTGACATGGTTCTGTGCGCCCGGGAGCACATGATGCTACAGGGGCACGACAACACCTTCCGAGTTCCAGTGGGCATGGCTCCGAGGCAGCTGCGCTCCATGGCTGGGAACGGCATGTCTCTGCCGTCGCTAGCGACGATGATTTGGTCGTGGTTCCTTCTCATGAACCGCAAAGGCTTAGTGAATTGATCACTGCTATTGATTCCGGCAGCCTTGACCCTTGCTGCTAGCTGCTAGCTGCTAGTCCAGTCAGTTCGTCTGGTTTTGTGTCGTCTCGTCCAGCCAGCCGTCTAGCCGGTCGAGTCAGCTTGAAGCGGTTGCTGTTTCACAGCAGCCGATGCACATGTTTTTCTTCAATGGGAGTCCCTCACGGTGATGAGAGAGTCAGCCTGTAGACTCTGTAGTCATTACCATGGCAAGGAGTCATGAGGTACCTTGCTTCTTGACATGACATACCAGCATAGCACCGTTCCTGTGGGGATCCCGTTGGCATGCGGACCTGCGCAAGCTGCGCATGAAGCCATGCTGAGCGTGAACAAAACGTTGTAGTTTCCTTGAGTGCTTGGTGTGTGTGTGTGTGTGACAGGTTCCACGTTGGAGAGGAGGCCTTGTCTTGTCGTATCCGTATCCTAATGGAGACTCCAAGCGAGTGTGAGATGCGGGACCACAGGAAGCGCGCGCAGCTTTTCCCCTCGAAGCAACTCTTTTGCAACTCTCCCGGTGACTTCGCTCACCGCCGGTTCTTTTCGTGTGAACATGGGCGGAAAGAAGCGCGCAGCTGAGCAGGCAAATTTGAAGCAGAAGGGCTGTAAGTCAGGTTTGTAGTCGGGCTGGCTTTGGCAGTACGTGGATCCGATTTGCTGGCAGGACAATTTGGCAATGGTTCCGGCGAGCAAAGCTCCATCGCGGGCTTGTGTCCCTGTGCAGCCCGCATCGGGCAAGGGCGGTGGTAAGCAGGGCTGGAACCTTGTTTGCTTCCAGTGCGGAGAAGGACCCAAGGCAGGTCTGCGTTGATTGTTGAACAGAAATAATTTCTCCTCCCCCTCCCCTAGGCACAGTCTGGGTTGCCTCTCCACACGCAAAAGTTCCAGGAAATGGCTAAGTGGTTTTGCTTAAGCACCCGAGTGTTTGCTGCATCATACCCCATGATGCAGCAAACAGGCGGGTGCTTAAGCAAAACCACTTAACCATTATTTCCTGGATCACTATGGGTAGTAGTAGTGGTGGTAGTAGTAGTAGTAGTGGTAGTAGTAGTAGTAGTAACCCACTGCTCCACTTAGCCAGGCCAGATGTGTTTTACTATTTTACAAACAACAGAAAAAAGAGGGGCTCCAATTTTGTCTCAAACCGTGTTGATGCTTTAGAAAAAGTAGTAGTAGTAGTAGTAGTAGTAGTAGTAGTAGTAGTAGTAGTAGTAGTAGTAGTAGTAGTAGTAGTAGTAGTAGTAGTAGTAGTAGTAGTAGTAGTAGTAGTAGTAGTAGTATTACTACTACTACTACTACTACGACGACTACTAGTACCACTACTACCAGGCACAGTCTGGGTTGCTATTTGCTTACTCGGAGAGATCTGGTGGTTCTAAACTCCTGATTGTCCTAATTGGTTCTAATAAAAGGGCAGTACCTGGGTCAGGGGGGATTCGGTTCCTCGAATTCGCAGGGGACTTTGGAAGCACGATCACAATACGAATTCATTCACGGGTGTTCAATTGACTTCAGATTCGATTTCGGACAAGATACAGCAAGCCCTCGCCCGGACTGCCGCAAGCTCCTCCTGGCAGGCTGCGAAATGGAATCAGCTCAATGCCAGTGGACGGCCCATCGGCGATGTGTGTGCCAACTGCTACTCCAGTTGGCTGGAAGGCTATCCTCAGTACGAGCACCTGCGAGAGTTCCGTGGGGAGTTGGACACGAATCGAGAGTTGAAGCAGGACTACAGCGACACCTGCAAGCGTAGGTTGCAGATGGCCGAATGCTTCGACGAGGATTTCCCGACGCCCAGCGAAGTTGCGGAGGAGCTGTTTGTGGGGACGATGACGTACTACGAAGTTGCCGTGCTCACCGACTCAGACCTGACACGGATGTTTGGAAAGAGTGCGAAAGCCCTTGGCTTGACCGCAGCGTCTTCCGCCACGAACGAGCACGGCAACCAAGCAAATGCTGTGTACCACGTTGGCCTGCCTGGGCCTGAGCATGTGTCGCCACAACATCCGGCCCCAACTGCCCCAGAAGCCTTATTTAGATAAACTTTACGAGCTACGTAGCAGTTACTTACTAGCTAGCTACCACCTGCCATTACTACGGCTAGTACGGTTGATGATAAAAATCTGCAGTACCCACAGAATATACCCTTGTTCCCAGACTTTAAGGTAATGCAGGGTTTATATTATCATCAACCGTAGCGGCGCAAGTCAACAGTCTTTCATTCCAGTTTGAGAAGCTCTCCGTGTTGGGCAGTGTGGGTCTGGGTGTTCCTGCCGCAGTCTAGTGTCTAGAGTCTACAATCAAGAGCAAAGTCAGAACGAGCATTGCCACAAGCTGCTCCTGAGTAATTTATGACGGGCAATAAAATAATAGACTAATAGACTCTATGACTCTAGAGACTCATCATGACTCCTGACAAAGCTGGTGTTTCTTTCGGGAAAGCAGTGTGCTGTCCAGGGACCGAGTATGGAACATAGTTGAATGGCGGATCTCTGTTTCACTTGGCCCTAGGCGAGGAATGCCCCTGGACGAGCTCATGGCTTGCCGCAAGACCCGAATCTTTTCGAGGACGGGTCATGTGCACAGCCGAAAGCTACTGACTCCAGAGTGCCAGATTCATGTGGAGCAAGGCAAGCGACTCATGAATAAGGCGAAGACCGCGGCCATGACTGGCAGGCCTACAGCCTTGAAACTCACAGGTCTTCCGACTCTGACGCATTACGCGTCTCTGCGGGACAAAGCTGACGACATCGAGATGAACCGTCGAGGCAGAGAGAAGGCGGAGGCGGAGGCTGCCAGGCTGGCCGCCGAGGCCGCGGCGGCGGCGGAGGCAGCGGACGCTGATATGTTCGCGGCCTTTGGGGATGCGGGTGAGGGCGGTGAGGCTCCGGCAGAGCAGTGCCGGCCCAGGGAAGCTCCGACGTTGGACTTGTGCCAGCTGGGTGAGGAGCCGCAGAAGAAGAAGCCAAAGCCGGCGAAGAAGGCCCCGTCGCGACACAGTTCCCAGAACGACACTGGGAAGCCAGCCACCATTGTCAACATGACGCCAGAGGACGAGCAGCATCTCAAGGAAACCGATCCCGAGATGCACATGGTTGTGCAAGCCCTCCAGACCTGCCACGACTGCCTGTTGAAGCTGAGCGTTGCATCAGTGCTCGAGGGCGGTTCCATTGGCAATTCCATCTGGAGTGTTTGCTGCTCAAAGCTTGCATCATTGTGGGTTGTCGCGAGAAGTTCCTGTGACCCTATCCCTACCTAGATAATAGCATAGGTCGTCCTAAAGAGGCCCTTATGCTAATACCAAGCCTGGCACAGCCTGGGTGCTAGATTCTAGATTTTGGACAGCTTGCTACGTGGTGGTTACTTAGTGCGAAACATTGTTTGCTGAGGCTAGGGAGAAGGTGCTGGTGAAGCTTCAGGGCACGAGGGAGTACGACATCTTGTCCCGACGCTTGCTTGAGTGCGAGGCGGCGTCCAAGCTGATGCAGAAGGGCGGTGTGTTGAAGTTGCAGAAGGCAGACTTGCAGCAAGTCCTCGTCGTTCTCAACGACATGGACAACTTGCGGCTGCCCATGAGCTTGCGTCTGCAGTTGATGGAGCGAAGAGGGTACGACCTTCTTGAGGAGGTGCTCAATTCCTCGGACGAGAGCAAATGGAAAGCTCGGGCAAACGACTTCGCTGCTACTATCTTTCCGCTTGTGACCGAGAATGAAGGATTCGATCTTTTCCGCGTGACGTGCTCGTGTTTGGTGCAAGATGAAAAGGTCCGCAAGGATACGCTGTCTTGGCTTGGCGACAAGGCCGAGAGCGGTGAAGAGCTTGTGTACAAGGACGGGTTTGAACCAGCAGCATGTCCAAGTCGGTGTCCCATCAGTTTTTTTGTTGTTCTTTTCTTGTTGCTTGGAGCCTGTCGCAGCCTTACAAGGGATTGCATCATGTTGTGGCAGGCTCGAGTTGTAGCAGCGGCTTGCGTGGCTGGTAGATGATCGCGGCAAGAAAGCTAGTTTCGTATTACTGGGTCCGCCATGCCACCCTTCGGGATTCCAGTGAGCTTCATGACACCGCCCGGCAAGCGGACGCAGCTATCAACGCCAGAAGCACCGCGGAAGCACAAGAAGCAGAGGACAAGCATGCAGTCTCCGGACACGACCAAATCCGACGAAGCACCAGCATTTCCGTTGAGGGCGACGGCTGTGCCTCCGCCGAAGTCGTCAACGGACATGCCGACCACTCCGCCTAGGAAGACCACACACGTGTTTCAGACGCCAGAAACGAAGGGGGCGGCAAGATCGCCCAACGTGCCTACTTGGAGATTGCCTCCGGGTACCAGATCCTCATCCTCGGCTACGGCTTCCCCGGTGGAGACACTTTCGGAGAAAGTTCGCAAGTAGCTGTAGCTCAAGTAGTGACCCGTGGCTCAAGGCAGCACTGCGGTGCCGCTGATTGCGTGCGCATGGGGGGTGCTTGTACAGAATAGGAGTCGCAGGTTACGAATAGTCACTAGTCGCAGCGAGGTTGCGAACCAAGGCTGGAAAATGATTTCTGTGCACAGCAGGAGTTCCTATGCCTGTGTGCGTGCTCTACATACCGTGCTCCGAAGCACCGGTGCGTCTACTGTCGTCCATCCTCTACTGACTCCCCACTACAGTGACACACATACCTATCTGTTGGCTAAGTTTTTATTCTCCTCTCCTCTAACTATATTGACTTGACTACGACGATATTGCTCTACACACTATCTAGTTACAATTGATGCACATAACATAACTTATATTAAGATATTACTGTGCTCGGCTTTAGGCTAGCGATGTGTCCCGAATTCTTCCAGGCCTATGACGGCTTATGAGCGGCGTATGATACTCCTTCCCTTGTAAGATGCGAGCTATGCATCCGATCCCTCTATATATGCCACGATTCTGACTATCATTTGTGCAACCATCTATCAGTGTGTCTATCTATCAGTAACTATCCGTCAACCTAATCCTCCGTCTATTTACTTATCTACCAAACCCTTTGAATCTCCAACCCACTACTATACCGAAGTACATGTTTGGATTTGGCTATGGCATAGTCATAGTCGTAGACATCATAGACACATGTAGTGCGTGCTTAGCTCAATATGAGCCGTATGCAGCAGAAATAAATCCCAGATGCGCGCACACACACACACGTACCGGATTATCACGTTACCGAAGCTACTTCTGCAGGATCTTGCAGAGAAGATGAAAATGACCTTCTACAACGACCACTTGAATCAGATGATCAAAGCCGGTCCGGCGGTGGGCGACAAACTGGTCTATGTCCTGGAGCAGATTCTGGACCAGATCAAGGTGGCAGGTCTTCCTGGGGGAGGTGATGTCCCTGAGCAGTTGCAGGGCACGGTGGGTGCCATTCGAGATGTTTGCGAAGGGCTTCACGTGCTTTGCAACGCTGGCAGTCCCTACAAACCAGACGGTGTTCTGCTGATCCTGAATCACAAAGGAATGCAGGACATCATGATGGCCGGCCTCAAGATGGCCATCCAAAGCGGCTGGAGCCAGGCTTGCAACGATGTTCTGCGGACAACTGCCAGCCTGAAAGCATGGCAGCTTTCTGTGTCGACCATCGAGGAGAAGGTGGCTGCGGTGAAGGCCGGCGGCTCCGACTTCGACTTCGCGTGCATCGGTTACATCGCGGAGCGCTTGGAGTCGTGCAGACAGAATCTGCGCGAGGGTACCACTGCTCGGACAGAGGAGCAGTTGCGTGGGATGACAGAGAAGGCAACCGAAGCCATCGTGTCCTCTGACATCGCAATCGGGCAGATCAGCTATGAGGACCAAGACATCAAAACGGTGCTGAAAGCTTGGAGCCTCCTGCGGCAGGATGCACCCACAAGAACGGCAGCTGCGAGGCTGCAGAAGTGGCATGCCGAGGCGGCACAGGTTCTGGCAACGCAGAAGTTTCTCGAGAAGTGCAAAGTGGAGAGCTTCGACGATGCTGCGCTCTTTGAGTTGATCAAGTCGTTTCCCTTGTGCAAGTCTGTTTTCGTGGGGCTGCAGGAGGATGATGCCTCCATTGCCGTCTTGCGGAGCTGCCTCTCCCCACTCTTCCAATGGCTCAGCCTTAATGTTTCTTGGTTTTCGTGGTGTTGTGGTAACTATGTTAGGATGTAGTGGTGCGAGCATGGAACATTGGTGCCATTGCAGACCGAGTAAGGTCTTTGGCACTGGCGTGTCCAAGACCACAACCGAGCTGCAGCAGGCGGCTGACTTCATTGGTGAGGTGGTGATCTTGTCCCAGCACAGCGCCAAGGACTGGTTGCTCAAGAATATGCAAGTGGTGCAGGCGAATGTGAAGGTTCGCAACAGCCAGGATGCATACAGCAAGCTTGGGCAGACCCTAGAGGAGAAGGTGCATCGCGACCGCCGCCGGAACATGTTGGTTGAGTACATGCGAGCGGTCGAGGCCTCCCAAGCGGCCGCGAAGGATGTGGAGCAGTTCCGAGCTGGTGACAGATTCCGGGATGGGGAGGACATCGAGGACGAGAGGCTGCGGACTCTGAATTTCCACGAGAAGGCCCCGTTGGATGTGTCGGAGTTCATCGATGCCGTGAAGTTGGTATGCCACAACTTCAAGGAGGAGATCAAGAGCATGGCCAGTGCCTTGAAGGAAATCACTGGTGATCTCTGCAATCCGGACATGCCTGGGTACTGGCGTGCCGGCCTCAGCAACGATTGCGAGCTGGACGAGTTGAAAGCAAAGGCGAAGAGTTTGAAGGACTTCAAGGGCGGCCAGTGCATGGATGTGCACAGCAAGTACACCAAGGACTTCACGAAAGATTGTGGGTTTGGAGTATAGTATAGTATAGTAATAGTAATATAGTAATTGTAATAGTAATAGTAATAGTAATAGTTTTTAATGATTATACTAGAATCTCCAGGAGCTCAAGGACATCTCAGAGTTCCAGACGACGTTTGGGCCAGTTGCGGCATCTTTCGAGATCATGAAGGAGCTTGGCTCGGACAAGGAGTGCTTTGAGAAAGTGTTGCAGCAAGCAAGGGTTGCTGTTTGTGAGGGGATCATTCTGCTTGCAGTGCAAAGCACGCGTGCAGTCGCGAACAAGTTGTTGCTGGATGAAGCTGCCGCAATTGCTGGCGGCTCCGTTCCAGAGTCCATGATCCATCCGAAGTTGATCGAAGCGAAGAACAACTTGCTGTCGTGAAATCGTCGTGAAACTTCTTTCGAGGCTTACACGGCCAAGTGGTAGCGATATCTCCGGGACTGTCGCCGATAGGACTCAGCTTGAGAATTGCAGAACAGCAGTGTTGTTGGTCTCCTGGAAGCGCTACCGGCCAGTGACTACTTCTTACCAGCTATATAGCTGCAGTTAGATGTCATGAAGGCAAGAACAGGCCCTGGCAGAGGTCGCGTTTTGCAGCAGTTCATCTGCTGCCGTTCCTAGTGACAGTGCTGGTCCTAGTCCTTGTCACTAATGACTAGTTCCAGGCCCTAAGCCCCCTCTGGGCTTAGCCACGTCGCTGTGACAGGACCCGTTGAAACTGGCAGCCAGCAGCAATACTCCAAAGCTTATTTGTTTTCTGTCATAACCCCGCAATGCCACACTGTGTTCCAACCGTCTGTGCCTGTGCACGTGCGTCCTGACAGCAGAGAAACCTGACTCGCTGCAGAGCATCGAGGACGAATGCAAAATCGTGCTGGGCCCTTGTGACCTGTCCACTCTAGTGACAGTGCCCCTTGGGTCTTAAGCCTTAAGCCTACTCGGGGGATCATGGGACTTAGTATGTAGGGTTATAAGTACCGTTTTTAAGGTTCTAAGTAGAAAGAACTATAGTTACCATACTTATAACCCTACTTACTAAGTCCCGTGATCCTTTAAGTAGGGCCGAAGCCTTAGCCTTAACCATTTCGGTTTCAGCATTTACGGGCTCCTGATCAATTATTTGTTACTCTGAGATTCTCAGATCTCAACCCGACAAATGCACTTGCCCTGGCCCTCATCCGACATCCCTTCGCCGAGGCTGGACTAGTGACTATTTGGGCTAGGCGGTTAGGGTTAGGGCTTTGGGGCTAGGGCTACGGCTACGGCCAAGGTACGGGTATAGTTGATCGTTAGTGATTCGTGCTGGTGAATTTGTTTGAGGCTAAGTTCAAGGCCCTGAGGGGTCGCAGTTGGAATCATTTGGTCCTTTGGTCTTGCTTGGCTTGGGCTGCCAAGGTCCCTTAGCCAACCCTCGTAAAGGCTCCAGGCCCCCTGGCAAACCCCCGACGCTAGGTCCGCTAGGCGGCGGCTAGGCCACTTTGCGACCAACCCTCCTAAAAGCTCCACCTAGAGGCTCCATAATACAGGGGCTCGTCCTGCAGCTGCTTACCAGAGACTCCAATATCCCTTAATTAGGGAATATACCTTAAATCAAATTATATTAAGGATCCTACTATAATTTAAGGAATATTCCTTAATTAAGGGATATTGGAGTCTCTGGGTTATGTCTTGTTCACCTTTGTTTCACCTTTTTTCCACCTTTCATTCGCCTCGATTCACCTTTTATTCACCTTTTACTCACCTTGTATTCACATTGTATTCACCTTTCATTCACAGTCTATTCACCTTTCATTCGTCTTGGTCTGCCCTGATTCACCTTTTGCGACCACCTTTTATTTACCTTGTATTCACCTTTTAATTCATTCCTAGCTTCCTGCAAATACAAGGGATAATTTAACACAACCCTAGGGTGCATAAGAGTGTAGCATGTCGGATATGAGTTTAGGCATTGGAGCTTAGTAGTTGTGCCTGTACAAGCAATTCCCATCGCCGCTTGCTTGCGGATGCCTGTCTTGTAGCTACCCGTAACCTACAGGCGAGTTTTTGTCAGCTGGGTGCTCAAGCTCGAGCCGCAGCGGGCACGATTCTTCAATCTTTGCCAGCTTGCACTTGCGAATGTCCTGAAAGAGTCGTGGACTTAGTAGTATACTGACTTTTTCATCCGAAGCCGGACAAGTAAGTGAGTTCAGGATTTTCCGGCAACCTTCTCATTTCCCCGCCCAGCGCTCGCGGCACCAGTCCGGTGCCGTCGCACTTTCATGTGCACGTCACCGGCTCGAGTGCCGGGACGCCGGGGACTTCGGGGAACCTTCTTGGGAGAGGGGGTGGGGTTGTTGTAGATTACGGCTCCGAACTGTGCTGAAAAGGCATTCGTGTACAGAGTCACTGAGAGGAAGCACAAAGCAGAAACATTGAGTCATTTAGAGGAAGCACAAAAGAGAAACCCAGGGGCGTGCAGGCTGTTTACAGATTTTCGAGAACTCGAAGGGTGCAGCGATAGATTTGTGGGGCAGCAGAGACCGGTAAACCGGCGCGTACCCCGAAACACCAAACCCTAAGCCCCCTAAGCATAAGCCCTAAACCGCAAAGCCCGAAATCCCCGAACATCCCGAACCTCCCGATCCCCCCGAACCTAAACTGCCCTAAACCCTACTAAACTGCCTCAAGCCCTTGCACCCTTGGATAAAGCAAGCCCTAAACTTGACTCTGAAGCCTGCACCTTTAGACCCCATTTAGGGTTTAGGGTTTAGGTTAGGGGCTCGTGGGTGCAGTAGCTCAGTTATTTTTCAGTTCCTTTAAATCGTAAAGCAGACCTCGGTGGCTCCAAGTAGCTGCTCATGATTCCGGGTTTAGAATTTATAGGGTTTATGAACCACTAGGGTCAATGGTGTCTAGGGTTTGGGGGTTTATAAATTACAGAGCCTAAACCCTTTACACCCTTGACCCTTCTGGTTCGTAAACCCTTTTATGAACCACTACAGCAGGGTCTTGGGGGGTTAATTTAGGGGCCTTAGTATTTAGAATAGGGTTTAGGGGGCTCCCTCTTATCACTATAGCAAAATAAGGCCTCTATTTCCCGAAAGCGCTTATAGAACCCGTAAAGAGTATCCCTTAAAGGAATCCTAAAAAGGAACCCTAATCTAACTCTTAAGACACCTTTTCTTAGGGTTTAGATCCTTGGCCCTCGGCCACTCTGGGCCTGGAAGCGGTCCAAAGACCCCACCTGGACCTTGAAGAGCCTAAGGACGTGTATTGGATTTTCCAAAACTTAGGCGTACCTTTGGGGTCCTTAGAATAAGGATCCCACTATTTAGGGTACTATGTCAGGGTCAGGAACCCCACAACGGTTTATTTGTAGGGTTGAAGGTAGGTAGTAAGGTAAAGACTAAACTAAACGAGGTATCGTTGCAACAATGTCATTTTTGAACCCTAGATCCTAAAACCTAAACCCCTATAAGAAGACCCGGCCCAGCACTGTGCCACACCATGGAATTGCAGCTATTGCCGTCGCTGCTGCTGCTGCTGCTGCTGGTGCTGCTGCTGCTGCTGCTGCTGCACATCTCTTGCTCCTGCCTAAACCCTTTAAACCCTAAAACAACCGAAATTCAAAGAACACGTCGCAAGAGCCCCAGCAGCATTGGCGTTCAGGGTTGGGGTTAGAGTTTGAAGAACCCTCAACCCTAAACCCTACACCCTAATATTAAAAACATGGTTCGGTTGACAGGCAGCACTGCGGTATGTGGACCTCTTCGACGAGGCAGGATTAGTTTGCTGCTCATGGCCTGCATGGGTTTACTGAGGGTTTTGGGTGCAATTCGGGAGCTACCGTGCAAAGAGCTCCGTGGATGTGTGAAGGTCGCCGCTTGTAGGTTAACAGTCGCGGGGTTGGAGCTGGTGCTTGGAGGTTCATGGGTGTTGTAAGCAGGGTTATAAGTAGGGTAACTATGCTTATGACCCATTTTCGGGGACTTATAACCCCTTCTAGCTACCCATGAACCGCCAAGTGGTAGTAGGACAACCCACAATGCCTGCATTACACAGACTTTGATTTTCGCATGTAGATGTCTGAATCATCTCTAATCTTTATCAATACCCTTTTGCCATAGTATACCCCAGAACCCCATCCCAATTATTTCACGCTCTTCGTTACCAGCCCAAGAGAACACCTACTCCCCGAAGCCCCCCTTCGCCATTGAACGTGTTTCAAAGACTGAAAGGCTTTGAGGTTTAGGGCTTCGAAGAAGTTGCGGGAGCTTCGCGTAGTTGTGGGTTGCTGTTAATGACTGCATCCGGCAGACAGGTGCACTCTGCACAACTGCCGGATGCCCAGTTGCGGGTTTACTTGGAGGTTCTTGGGTAGTTGCAAGTGGGGTTAGAAGTAGGGGAATCGTGCTTATAACCCATAGTAGGGGACTTATAACCCTACTTATACCTACCCTAAACAATACACCCTAAACCCTATAGAACCCTTAAAAGGAACCCTAAGCCCTCATAACCCCACGTATAACTACCCATGAACCTCCAGTAAAGGGTCGAGGGTTCATAGTTCATCGCACCCAAGGGTCCCAAAAGCCTTAACTTAAGCCAAACGCCAGCTCTTCAACCGGGCTTACATGTAGGATTGAGGCGCCCGAAATCCTCAATCTGGCCTTTGATTGCAAGATGTAAGTAATACTGAAGCTTGAAGCACGGGTAAAACTATTTCATCCGGTTCCATGCCATGACTATGCCATACTAATGTATCCCAAAACGCAGTTCCAATTCTTACGGCCTCTGCATTACCGGGTGGGGTTTCGAGTTTAGGGTCGATTCTTCGTGGATCTTCCCTGGTTACTTGGGCTATCTTCGGTTGTACCAATGTCAGCTCTCGTTTCTGAGTGTCTTGGTCCTTTGCTTGTTTTCAATATTCATATATCACTGGGGGTGAGAATCATATCCAGTGCTGCTACTCGGCATGATATTGCCACTTCTGTTTTTGAGACCTAGTTGGTGGTCTGATATTGGTGATCGTAATTATTCATTACTGTGACCACGAAGTCTATCCTTGCTACTTTACTTGCATGCCTTAGTGAATTGTCTAGCTTTCCGAAAGAGGGTTGGGCTCTCGGTCACATTCGCAGGGAGCTTGGCGACAGCCACACGAAGGCTGCGTTAACATGGCTCTCTATCCTGAAATTCAGCCTAAGACCATCCTGGAAAACAACAGAAAACCTAGGCTGTGGCAAACGTCTTAGCTGCAGTAGCTGCTCCCAGAGAAAAGCAGAGCTTGAAGCGCTCATTCACACAATCGTGGTCCTGAAGACACCAGTCGTAGCACTTTTTCATGGTATGCACGGTAAATTGATTGCAAAACGCAATCGTCGTAATCATAGACAGGAGCA